CAATCCAATCTTTAATTAAATATAATTGATTTGTAACTTCTACTAGAACTGACGTTAAGAATTGAAGTGCAAATAAATAATATCGTGTGCAATCTTGATTAATATAAAATTAAAAATATTTGCACAGAAAAATATTTGCATTCAGACAGAAAGTTTTTTGAAATATTTGCAATTACTTTATAAGAAGGATTTATTAATAACCGTAATAATTACTTATTATATTACTGATGATTAGGATTCAGTTCTTGACAATTACATTCTAAATTAGAATTTTAAGAATTATTAGAATTTTAAAATTAGAATAATGAAAATACGCTACGCACAAAAATACATTTTAGGATAAAATATGAGTTGATTTTTATGTTTTAAAAACTTCTTGAAATTCATTTAATAAACATCGTATCCCTCGTTGTTAATTGAAATTCCAGAATGTTGGGTGCCGTTTATATAATTATTCTTACTTGTCCACAGAATCCTGCTGACTTATCCAGCGATTAAGTAGCTGCAGATCATTTCCTACATAACCATTGAACTTGCATTAATTCAGGTCTCTAGAGGGTTGTATGTTTATATCATAATTTGACTTTTATAAAATGATTATTCTAAATCTTATGTTTCTATAAAATATACCGTGCTTTAAAAATATGGATGATATAGTACCAGCCGCTCTTTCAGCCACTACAAAGCATCAGTTTGTTTAGAAATAAATAGTGCAGTTAATGTCATAAAATTCAAATAAACATCAAACGAAAATTCTCAGTTTTAGACAATTCGATTTAAACGAAGTAAGTAAAGCAGCAGACGATAAAACGCCGAAGGTAAAAATTACTCTTACAAAATTTACTCTTATCAAAAAAAAAAAAAAAAAAAAGAGAGAAAGAGAAATTTAAAAAATTATTTAAAAATTTATTTAAAAATAGCTTTTCATATAGTATTAATAAATATTTATTACGCATCCTTGAGGGAAAAAATGTTATATAATTAATTCTTCGTAAAATTTTACTTGAAATTTAAGGTTAAAAATAGCTGTGGCAATACAGTGTAACAAAAATCCATAGACCACATTTGGCGTTATTATCGCTCAAAAAAAAAAATGATGTCAAATTTCAAAACGCGAAAATATGTAAATTTGTGTATATCTTAGAAAATTTTGAATAAAAAAGTCTAATTTTTTGCAGATGTGCTTAAAAATACACCTACTTTAAGATGATGGTAAAAATTTTATAGGTTATAATTCAAAATTTTTTTCGAAAAATTTATAAAAATTATTTAAAAATAGAAATTTAAAAAATAAAACACAAAAATGGGTAAATTTTATTTGGAATGAACCTAAATTTTGAAATTTGAGAGAAGAAAAAAAAAAAAAGTTTAATAATAAAAGAGATATAAATAAATATTTGCCAAATTCAATTAACATTGAGGAGCTAAAATTTTGAGAGCTAATTTTTAAAAACTACTCGTACGATTTTTACAAAACTTGGTATTCTGGCATACTTTAAGTCGTAGAATCGAAATATGTAAAAAAATTGGTATGTTATTTCAGAAAAAGTCCGATTTTGTGTCAAAATACCTATGTTAGAATAGTGCTATATATAAATCTAATATATATTCCAAGTCACGTTTTCGAGACATGAAGAACGCAATTTGAATTTCGTGAATCGCCCCAGTAGAACGGGAGATATAGCACTTTTCCTTTTTTTTTTTTTTTTTTTTTTTTTTTTTTTTTTTGAGCAGTGTACATAGTTACTACGAGTTAAATTTCGTTCATAAAAATAGTAACGATTTTTACCAAACGGTAAACATACATATTAAGGTAAATATTTTCGCTCATGGCTTTTTGTGGAGTGTTTAATCTGCGTACATTCTCACTTGATGCTCCAACAATAGTCAGCCACCATATCTGCATCCCATCTACCATGGTACCGTGCCTTCATGACCTTCAAATCTTGGTGGAATCGCACACCCTGTTCTTTATTGACTGCACCAAAAGCTTTCGGGGACTTATCAAGATACTATGTAAAAAATGCAATTTGATGCTCATTTTGCAGCAAGTCATTCTGAAACTCTTCAAAAGTTGCTGGACGATTTGGCTGTAATTTTTTGCTTGTGTATTTCCTAGAAAATCTTTTTCAAGTTCTGTCAATGTTCAAGTTCTGTTCAAGTTCTGTCATTGTTCCGATGAAATGTTCAAGGAGCTGCCGAATCTGTGGAACATCAAACATTCCGGCTTTTATCTTTCCAAATGGCAGGCTAGGAAATGCCGAAATGAGATATTTGAAACAGTCTCCTTCAAGGAGCATAGCATGGACAAATTGCTTCATGGAACCCAATTTTATATGCAGAGGTAGAAATAATACGTTTGTTCTGTCGACAAATGAGTGACGTACAATGTTTGGATCATCCGTTTTCAAGATAAAATGTTAGTGGCCAATTCGACATCCAATACTTTTAATGAGCTCGGATGTCCCACATGGACAAAAAACAGGGATACTTTGTGTATCCGCATTGATGGCCAAGGCGGAAGCAGACCATTTTTAGGTCAACACAGATGATCCATTGGTGCATGTGATACTGCAACAAATGCGTGACTCATTTTTCTTACATATTATTCTCATAAACGAATTGAATGGTATATTGAATAATAAATTTCCATTGAGATGGAGAACACACTCAATGGAAGTGTACACAAAGCTTCGCTTTGAGCTATCGATGAACAAGCGCCATTGAGATGAGTTACAAGCTGAAATTTTCAACTCTTTCATTAAACCATGAAAGTTATTGCAATATACAAATCCATCACCACTTCGAAGCTGTTCTTGTTGGTAACAGCTTTGAAGCCTATTTGGATAGTCCCAAATCTCGTGCCAAATCATTTAGCTCATGCTGGTGAAATTCCTTAAGAACAAAATAGTCTTCAGTTTCAAAATCTTCATCGTTAGGGTCAATTCGATATTCACCTGAATCGTATTCCTGTATTTCCAAAGATAGTATAATTTTTTGAAAACTGGCATTGGGATTTAAGATATGTGAGGCGCTCGGCATATAGCTGAAGGAAAATTAGGATACTCTATTTGACATTTGTTTTTCTTGTTATATCTTGACGTTTTCATTATAGAATATAACAGTCACTTGAGAAATTTCTGCGTTCTCTCGAAATCTTAAGTTTATCAAATGGAAATTTAAAATATGTTCCCATCATCCACATCCGTAAACCTTCGACACGTTGCTTGCACACTTTATAAGAACCCCATGATTTGTCTTGTTCACTAATTCTCACTTTGAAATAGGTAAGATAGGCTTGCCTGATAGATGTATGGATGTTTGTTTTTGATTAAGAATTGTAAAACTGCCACATATGCAACAAAATCAATTGGGGCTGTTAAAGCACTTCAGATGTGAACTAGAAGAGGCAGACATAAGGAAATTTTTCAGTTGATATATAAATAAAAAACTAAACGCTGCTAACCTTGTATACAAGCAAGAATTGGTACTCCACATCGGAATCACTTTATTATATCAGAGTGACACACAACATCTCACTACAGTATTACAGGATTAACTGAGCTAGTCTAGACAAGTATGCATCTGTGAAGGGTTCAATATGGCGTCATTCACCGGGCGCCAATCGGAGGGTTTCTGTCAGCCAATAGGAGAGCACTAGCACTTCCTATGATCCACGTTTGATTCCATGGAGAGTAGTCACGTGCACATAAGATATACAGAAAATATTTGATGTGGTAGAAGAAAACTAACCATAGTTTTGAAATCAGCATGTATATTTAATTCTAAAGCAGCTCAAAAAGGAACTTAACAGAAATTGTATTACAAATTGTTCAATAGTGTAACTGCTTTCTATAGCAAAGGATTAAAAGAATAAAAATCACATCCAATCCTTATTATCGATCAATTTGTAGTACCAAGAAGGACGACATTTGTGAAACTTTAGCTCTCCATTTTCGTATTGTCATGTAATGATCAAAAGAAGGAAAAAGATCTCAAAGAAAGGAGGAGAAGCGACACGAAAGAAATTTTAGAAAACGGATACGAGATATGTCTGCAGACAGAGCAATATAGTGGTCTGGAAAGAGGTTTACATTGTACTGTTCACCACATATTTGTTGGTGAATTTTGAATATTCTGGCATACTGAGAATCCCTTGATCCACACACGCTATATAATACCACCGCAGCTAATTCTTTTTTTTAAGTTATTGAACAAAATATCTCGCTGAGGAGCACCTTTGATTATTGAAATGATATTTAAAAAGGAGATCAGTTAGTTATATTATCAGATCTAAATCTAATTTAACATTTATGGGAAACCTGCTTTTTTTCACCCTTTTTCATTTATAGTACACTCAAGATTTCTGAATGGCTTAAAAAAATAAAAAAGAGTGAGAGAGAAAAAGTGCGGGCCTCAAATGTGCTCTCAGTTAGGTGTCTTGTAATTTGACAGCTGCGACAAGAAGAGAGTGAAACAAACTTGAACTTAAATCAAGGATGAAAGTTTTCTGCATTAAGGTTTTGGGACATATGCCTGTTTACCTCCGTTAAACACCAGGCGTCCCCGTCCTCCGTCATCTGTCACCTGCATTAAGGTTTACTTTCAAAATTATGTTAAAAAAGTGTTGCCATATTTTCATCATCCGCGCGATTTTCGCAAAACCTGCGATTTAATTAGCAAATAATTTTCAAAATTTAAACGTCATTATTATCTTATTTTTTAGAATTATCTACTGTAAATTATGTACCGTAATTTCACTGAATTTAATTTAAAATTTTATGTTAACTTCATGCGCAAAAAACTAAATGCAACTTTGTATTCATGGAGGTGCCTAGTAAATTTGTAATATTTGTTGTATAAAACACTACTTTATTTTATTTTTAAACTATTCAGCATTGTGGTTTGCTAACTAGAATTATGCTTATTATGTTTTGCTAAATTAAACAAAGTCAAATATTATTTAAATTTTCTTTAATTTATTTTATTAATAGGTGAAGACAGAAATTTCGAAACAATTACTTACGCAGAAATGTACGAAGAAGCTAGGTTATATGCCGCAGCTCTTCGGAAGTTTGGATTGAAAAAAGGAGACGTTGTTGCTTGTATGTATAAGCTTTTTATAAATTATGATATAAGATTATTCCTTTACAAACAATATGAAAAATCCCTATTTTTATTTGTTTTTATAATTATCTTTCGTCGTGGTGATAACAAAACTTAGTTAAAGTGAAAATTAAATTTATTTACCTCAATTCGAAACGGAAGAACTACGAGCATTTCAAATTATTTAGAGAGTGTAAATATCACGTTTTGTGCCATACCTTAAAAATACTTTGTGAATGCTTTATATAAATCTATTTCACTCTCCATTCCTGCTAGGTAAAAGGGTTTTTCTTTAGAGAACTGTGCAAGGAAATTATCCCGTTTTTGCAATAAAGTAGGTAGAAATCAAAGTAAATTTAATAAAAGCCAAGTTGGTCATCAAACGTGCAGTTAATGGAAACTATCGTTATTCAGTCGTCTTTAGCAGTTTGTGAAACACCATTTTGTTTTAACGCTTTTTATAACCATTGTAAATAATGTCATAATTTGAAGAGAATAATATTTTAACTTCTTTGAATATGACAGCAAAAGAATGCTGTCAAATTATCAATGCAGGCATATGTTTTGAAAAACGACGCATTGGTGAGCAACTTAAGGTTGAATGAATGCATAAAAATTAAAATCTAATGTACCAATAAAATACGCGTAATGGCAGACTGCACATTCAGTTGACCATGTTAAACGAATTTCACATACTGTGCATGCCCAGAAGAGAATTTGGCGCAATTTTAAAAGGAGATAAATACGGTATATGGTTGATATTGTGTTATCTGAGTGTAAGCAGTTTCTGGTATTAAAAATTGTTAGGTTGTAAGTTGCTTCATTACTTGGAGTATAAATATCGATTGTAAAACTACGCAAGTTTTCGTTTCAGAAGGATTACAAAATAGGAAACATTACAAGATATATTAGCTGAATGTTTAATTACAATACTTCCGAGGAATAAAAGAATTGAGTATTTACCATACGTTCCATTCCTGTATACCTTAACAAATTAAGGAATAAATCCAGTTTAAATTACTCTATTAAAGTCAAAGAAATTATTATAAAATGATATTAAATGTAAAGTTTATGAACAAAATAGACAAAAATGAAATGCAACAGAAGCAAATGCAATAAGCACAAATTTCCGTTGAATTGTAATTGTAAACAGTCGATAAGACATACATGACAGACAGGCTTGTGTAGGATTTCTTATACTTAACTCATTCCCTGCCATGATCCCCATATGGGGATCGCCTACATTTGTATACATTGTGACGTCATGTTGCACCTGGGTGGTCCCTTACGGGTGGTCATGCTTTCCTGAAGATTGCAACTAAGGGTAGAAATCTTAAACAAACACGTGGACTCAGTTAGTTGAGCTCACGGGTTTATTTTTCTTGCTCTCTCGTTGCTTTTCACGAGAAAAATAATACGGTTATTTTCAAAGCACAAAAAAGTTACTTAGGAACAATTATTTTTGTTGTACTGAATTTCCATTGATCACTGGTAAGTAATAAATGTATTTATACATTATTTATCCTCATACTGTAATTTGGATGGGTACAATGAACCTAGATATATCGATTCCCATTTGGGGATCATAGCTGATACTGACTAAAATTGTAAAAAAAAAACTGTTTTCTTTTTTTCCAGGAAATGTCGCGTAAAAGATATCTTTCTTTAAAAGAAATTGTAAATTCTGATGATTTTATGCATCTGACTATAATAGCCCCATAGATATTGTTGAAATTCCACCAGTGCGGGTTGATGAGTAGATAATGAATACATGGATGACAACGTAATTGATGATGAAGAACCACTTGATGTTCCCGGGTGTGTTGAAATTCACCGTGTGGCAGGATTTGAGGAAAATGTTTTAGTGAATGCAACTGAATCTTCAGCAAATGAAGTAACAAAAGGTACCGTCTTACCACCTGCTAAAAAGAGAAGAGAATTATTGACGTCAAATTGGAAAAAGAAGCAACCTAAGTACTTGAAACGATATGAAAATTCTGACGTTATAAAGACAAGGCGAAATGATGTCATTAGAAAACTTAGGAAAAATCCCTGGTAGAGTGTTTTGAAATACGTTTTGATAATGAAACTGTCACCTATATTGTCCAGTAATATACGCCAGACAGAAAAACAATCATCAATTTCAGCTTTCTGATAACTGCCTAAAAAAATTATTGGAATACTTCTTTTCACTGGCTATCATTCACTTCCGCAAGAACAATTATATTGGTATGAAGATGAAGACATGAACATTCTGTGTGTTAGACCATGCATGAGTCGGAATAGGTATCTGGAAATTAAACGGTACCTACATGTCAGTGACAACTCCGATTTAGAAAGGATTCCACTAGGTGAACGTGATAACCTCTTCAAGATTCGCCCATTGATTTACAAGCTGAATGACAAATTTCAACAATTTGGGTGGTTTGTCTGAAAGTTTGAGCATTGACGAACAAATGATTCGTTACTCTGGACATATCACTACCTCAAACAATTTATACGTGGTAAGCCAGTGCAGGTTTGGGTTCAAACAATGGGCTATCTGTGGTTCACAAACTGGATATCGTTTTATCACACTCAAGCGTATGAAGGCAAATCAAAGAAATTAGGAAGATGATGAAAGCATCAGTGGGCTTGGAACATATGTTGGCCCTTCAGATGGTATCTATTCTTCAGACACCAAATGCTCATAAAGTTTACTCTCGACAATTTTTTCACAAGGATTTTCTCTGATGAAAAATTTGCAGGATATTGACATTAGAGCAACCGGAACTGTTCGATTCAAGAGAATGAACAACTGCCCTATTGCAACAGACAAAGAGATAAGGAAACAAAAACAAGGGCATATGACTACAGATTTGACTTCCCGTAATGAAATTTTAGCTATCACGTGGAACGACAACAGTTGTGTAAGGCTTCTGTCTAATCATGAAACTATCGAACCAATATCAGAGGTGAAGCGATGGAGTAGAACAAAGAAGAAAGATATTCAAGTACCGTAACTCAAACTGATATTAGAATATAACGAATACATGGGTGGAGTAGACAAGATGGATTGGAATGTTCAAAAATACAGATTCAGAATAAGAGGAAAAAAATGGTACTTTCCTTTGCTTACTAATGCCATCGACCTAACACTGGTTAACGCCCACGCACTGTATTGTATTTCAAATGATAAAATTCCATTGCTAGATTTCTGGAGGATTGGTTGCTATAGGATATCCTGCTTTATCTTCAGAACTCTCAGATGCAAAAAGGGATGGAAGGAATTCTTTCACTAAAGCATCAATTAATCGTGTTCCTACTGATATCAGAACATCTGGTAATTATTATATTGAACAGACCGAAAACGGTAAACAAAGAAAATCTGCAGTGCGCAAAACAAATGCAAGAAAACAATGTGGAAAATGTAATGTTGGATTACACGTAGACTGTTTTGAACGGTGGCATTAAACGTAGATAGTATCAGCTATGATCCCCATTTGGGGATCGGACTTAAATTTAAAATTTCTGAAAAAAAATTGATGCATTTATGAGAAAAACATGTTTTTCTTATTATTTAGATGTAAACTAACAGAAATAAATGATGAAATAAAAATTTGGCATTTAATGGGTTAATTAGTCGCCGGTGTTTCCTCCCATGCCAACGGTTTACCATTGAGCATGAGCAGTAAGCGAAATTCGTTAACATTGATCAACTAGATGTGCTGTTTGCCATTACGCAATGAAATACGGGTGATGGAAAAGTATTTCATCGAAAATTCAATAATTTTAATGATAATAAAAGTTTGAATTTAAATTTCAGTTCGACATTTGAGGAATATAAATATCAATTACTATTATTATATATTTATACAATTAAACATGTTGTGGCTAGGTGAAGCAATATTTCTTTTTTTTTTTGCCCAGTCTATTAGTAGGATAAAAGGACCTGAAAATCTTTAAAAAAAGCCGCTGCTATTACTATGATATGATTCTACTAGGTGTCGATTCTTAAAATCACGAAGTATCTAAACAATCAACATTTTTGTCGTTAGCCCAGATTTAAAAATTCGTTTTGACAGAAAATACTGACTGACATTAAAATGTTTGTGTAGTCAGTATTTATACTATTAAATGTGCATGTAAACATCCTCTTTCTAATAATAATTTTTGCTTCTATTTTGAGTAATAAAATATACTCATGTCCATATTAAGGATAATGCCAGCTTCGGCAAATAAAGGTTCAGACACAAAATAAACTTAAAAGCCCAAAGAGTAAAAAAGATGGCGTATGCATGATACCATTCATAAAAACTACGGTTTTTGCTCCTGCGAGCAATTACAAAAAAATCTCCCTTACAAAAACTTAACATTACATGGTTGGTATGATGGTTAATACATTGTGTGTCTCCCAGCCGATGAAATACAATCCGTACAATTCCTAGTCATTCTGAGTGCCAAATTATCGAGCTGATCTTGAGAAAACTTACTCCATTCAGCAAGCAATGTTCTCCGAAGTTCCAGGTGCTTAATCGGCTGCAGTTAGTCGGCCAAGCATGTCCCACACATGCTGTATCGGAATCAAATCAGGTAAGAATGCTGACTGTTCCATATGGGTAATATCCTCAGACTGAAGTCATTCCTTTACAAGTTTAACGGTGAGGACGGGCGTCGTCATCCATAAACACAAATTCTGCGCCTATGGCACCACTAAACAAACGTACATGTTGTTCCAGAATGATGTCCCGATAAATTTTGCCTGTCATGATTCCGATCTGAAAATGCAGATATGTTCTGGAGCCCAGTATAATCCCAACCCAAATGAGTAGTCCTGCACCACCTTAACGGTGTCGTTCAATGATGCTGTCTTGGTGGTAGCGGGTACCTGGAATTCTCCATATGAAAATCCGACGTAAATCAGCATCAAGCTAAACCTGGACTCGTCGGAAAATATCACACAAGCCCACTGTGACGATGGCCCCATTGCATATTCTCTACTCCAGGCTAACCGCTGGCGACAATGAGCTGCCTTGAGCAGAACACATCTGACAGGCCTGCGAGCATGTAGACCAATCTGTCTCAAACGTCCGTACACGGTTTGCCTTGAAACTGTCGCACCCGTGGCTGACGATAGCTGACGAGACAGGTCTGATGCTGTACTCTGTCCTTTTCTTTTGGCAGTTACTGCCAAATACCGGTTGTTATTCGGCGTTGTAACTCAGGAGGGGCCGACCTGTATTGTAACGTCTACTGACATTTCCATCAGTTTGGAATCGAAGCCTAGAGATGACACTTTGAGCTATTGTAATGTTCTCGGATCCTTCCATCTAAGTATCCCCCCTCATTCCCAGGTGGCCGATAATTCTACCACGTAAAAAATCATCCACCTGGATCCTCTGAGTCATAGTTATTCGGTTGTGACACTCAGCGGCTTACAGAACGCTTGTGAACAATTTTACATCCTTGTTACCTCTTACACTCTTGTTATTGTGACGTACTATCGGCGTCATCTGATACCTTCCTGTAATTTGCATATTGTTACTGAAGATGTTTGCGATAATTCTACAGGTGAAATTTTCACTTTCGAGTTCGATTTCCGTGTGATTGTGAATTATCCTTAATTTATGGACATGAGTGCGTTTAGAAATTGAGAACTTCCATTTGAGGAAGTTTAGAACAAAAATTGAAAACCGAAGTAATAAAAATGAGAATTGTTCAGCAAATATATTCAAGTTTTACTTTATTCGGGAAATGTAAGTTCGAACCTTTTCTGCATCATTTATAAAATTTGATATACAGTTTACTTTCCGCTAGCATTCAGTTGTAATTTCTTTATTCCAAGTTTTACAAAACATATCAGCTTTTTTTCACGTCTAACAAGTTTTCTGAAATATATCATGACTAACTTTTTTTCCATAGAAGCAATATACATATCATTTTCTTATTACAGTAAAGTCGTTTCATGCTAGATCTACTTGAGTTTCCACTAGCGTTTTAAATGAGTATTACGTCCCTGATGTTTCAGTATCTTTGTTCAACAGATGTTTAATATTTAAAAGTTTTAATAATATTTTTGTTTGGAGTTTGTAAGGATTTATTTATTGTCATCTAACCAGTTATTTTATGTTAAATAGTTTTACTGTTATTCTTCTTTTCCATTTTCCTGCCAGAATGCAAATTTCAGTTCTCGCGTATTCAAATGTGGTAGAAAAAGGTACTATTTAAGGGAAGTTTTAGATTGTTTAATCGAGCGTATTTCGCCTGCTGAAGGCCACGTTACTAGTTGAATCTCTTCGATGGCTGTCTGTCTACGGCATTGCGTTATACTTGTCATCAGTGTTCTCAACGCCTGCTTACGTTTGAGCCAACATTTTGTGTAACCTTTGGCTAACTTGCAACTTAGTTCATTCTTTTGAGTTACGCCATAAATGCTGCCTGGATTTGTAAGCACAAGAGTGCCTTCAGTTAAAGCTCTGAATTTTAATAAAATGTTTTTCTGAGTCTTCTACACCCATCTTACGCTTCTCTGTCTTCATACTGAACACAACGATAAGTTGCTTAGCTTCAGCTTGAGTTTCAGTTTATACTTTCAAAGAAGGTTAGTTTGTACAAGTTTCATAAAGATTTCAAGAGTAATTTTATTTTTACGCATAATAAAACTATTTTAATCATGTTACATTTAAAATTGTATATTTTTTGTATATTTATGTTATATACGAGATATCATGCCGAAATGTTATATTTATTTTGAATTAATCTTCCAGCAAGCGCGTGTGCGCAAAATTTACGACCAATTCAGTTTTTAATGCACACTTTTAGCATATCGAAGCTGAGACGTCTGAAGGTCATTTCTATTCCTCCTCTATACCCTTCCCCACATTATGGAATGTGCCAACAGGAAGTCATTTAACTTGTTTTTAACTGGGCTTTTGTGCTACGTGGCAGCTTTTCATAAAAGTTACGACACACGCGTGGTCGTGTTTTAAAATTCGGAAAATAAATAGCGATTTCCATTCCTTATTTTCTTTTATTCCTATTTTTTAGAAATAAATAAAAACATTAAAGTTAGTTTAAAATGCGCTTTTGTAAACAGTAAAAGAAGTAAATTTCCTTGCAGAAGTAAGAAATGCTAAACTTACTTTTTTTTTCCTACCAAGGTGTTTTCCTTTTTTATTGCCTATACTTGTCTTTTATGAATTAAAATTAACTTCGATTTTAAAATATGATTATTAAATAACAGATTTAAAATGTTCTATAATGAAATACATCATTGCATTTTCATCTCTCTAACATAAAATCTTAAAAACAATTTACTTATATTTGAATGTGATATCATTTGTATTTTGCAATAATAAGATTAATATTTTATTTCTTGACAAATTTATTATCAATATTCATTTATTTCTGTCGTTTTTTCGTGCCAAAAACGGTAAAATAACGGATGCCGTAAAAAATAAGACGGGCGCGTGCTGGAAGGTTAAAAAAGAAATAGAGCAGTAAGTGTATTGCGTATGCTCAAATTATCGATCAATGTATATGGATTCTCTAGTCATGCTTTAAGATGATGAAACAGATCAAAGCATTAGTACCACAATCTTTTGTGATTTGTAGTTTGTAAATAATTTCATAAAATATGCTTATCTTTTACAAAAAAACTAGAATAGCAAGCTTGAGGTATGAATCAAAAGGCAAAAGTAAAACAATGTTAATTCAAGAACGCCTTGATAACATGAAATTTAAGTTTACTTCACAAAGCTGAATAATGAGAATTTTTTTTTAATTTTAGGTTACATGTCAAATAGGATAGAAGCGGTTATCGCCATGCTTAGTGTTACCAGCATTGGGGCTATTTTTACTGGAGCTCTACCACAGTTAGGACCTCAGGTAGGATCAAATGAAAGAAAAAAAATATGGTAATCTAGAATTTCAAATTAGATTAAAAAGTAACCTTAATTTGGCATAAATTTTCAAAAAAACGCATCATTTTAAAGAGAGATCAGTTACAGGTCTATTTTCGTTAGGAGCAAGAGAATTTTAAAGAAAAGTGTTTATCTGATTGGTCACACTTTTTTGATCTGCTGTATCTTCTAATGCTAGATATGCTGGAACGCGAGACAATACCACGTAACCTCTTTGCAGAATGATGGTGTCTCCGTCTCCCGTCAACTGTACTGTTGATTTCTCTAGTTCAGTCTTAATTTTGGCACACCAGTGTGTATATTACTGTTGTATTTTGAATAAGGGACCTTTATTCATAAAATCCTAAAGCACTCAACTTTTATAGCATTGGTTTTAGCTAGGAAAGTATACGCTTAAAGAATAGTTGGGACCACGCAGATATATTCAGAAGATCTCTTCTGTTCAAATTACATGATTATATATTGATTGATTGCCCATATATTATTCGATTTATTACATATTTGACGCTAGTTTATCTCACGGGGCATATTCAGTGTTTGTAAAACTCTAGTATGAAATTCAACCACTTAATTTCGTAAAGAAACTGATCTTTTGCATGTACTCCAGGTTGCACCACCTACAGGCACAGAAGAAAAACGCTTGCGGTAAATAAGTTCCGTGTCGCTAAGCTTGCTCAGCTATATCACCCACAGCTTAACTGTTATTTTAAAATTAATCGCATTTTATCAAAATTTCATCCATTTGATATTAGCGATAAAAATTTGAAAATTTAGAATGGACCAGAACGAGCGGTAAAAAAGTAACAAGATCAATGAAAAATTTAAAATATTCATGTATACTTAATATTAAATTAAATGTTATTTTGATGGAGGTCCATAAAGAGTAAATTAAGTTTCTGTAATAATGTTAATATGTAAACACGAAACAAAAATTAATATAAATATTTCACTGTAAAAGTATGCGCGAAATTTTAAGAAAGCTTTCACGGGATTGTTAATCAGAAAGAGTTTAAATAAATGGAACAGCTATTCAAAAGCACATATCCGATTTAATTAGCAAGACAGATATCATGTTTGTAACTATTGTTATGTTATATGAAAGTATTTGCCAGGCTCGCTTTGCATATTTAAAATTGAGTCTAAGTTAATTTAATGAAGTAGAATATATAAATTGCTAGTTAATATGATTTTAAATTATTTGAATTTGAAATGAAGTTATATTATTAATTTCGACAATATCTGAAATTTTCAAAAGCCTTCGGGTAAACATTAAATTGAGAAATGGCGTTACAATCGATATTTTATGTTCGAACTAATTTCTGTCCAAATTTTAAAAACATATTTCAAATATTTGACTATTAATATCAGAATATCAAAATAACTCTTAATATTTACTAGTATATTTAACAGACTGATCATATCACAAGTTTGAAATTTTGCATTTGTTATAGAAATATCTCTTGAAAGCAGATAATATTATGAAATAAATAACTTATTTATTTTTTCCTTTTCTTTCATAATCCAGGCAGTTATCAGCCGCTTCCAAATTGTGAAGCCAAAATTGCTTTTCTCAGTGGACAGATATCGAAACAATAATGAAGAAATCGAAATGTTAATGAAGCTTGAAGAAATCGCTGAAGGTATGCCCCCTCCCAAAAAAAATCTTCTTCTATGAAACAAAATTTTCTTGAAATTACTGAAGTTCTATTATTTAACAAATAAATCTTCCAGTATAAAAACTTAGAGGGAAGAAATCAATTACAAATATATATATATATATTTATAATTATCTTCAGATTTTATGCTTATATAAGATAGAACTGCATAGTATTTGCGCTATTTGTATAATATGCAAATCATAAGTACAGAGTATAAAGATTAAAAATTTTAATTTAATGCAAGATACGTTAAACGTTATTACCGTGATATACCTAAGAGTCAGATTTGGTTCGTAATTCGAAAATCGGACAAATGTTCTTGCTTTTTTCTGCTTGCTATCACGAAAAAAGCGTTTGATTCAGTCATGGCTAGTATTTCAGATATCATTTGTGCAGAATAGATAATACCGTAATACGTTCACGTAATGTTTGCACTTGTTTTACTAAAATTACACCACTAAAATGCGAATGCGGACATTACACGGGTCGTTCAAATGTTTCGCTTTTTCTCGTGAGTAATTTTGGATGTAAATTTCATTTCAAACAGCCAAGTTAAGTTCTAAGTGGAAGAAAATCGCATTAGATCGCATTGTGCACCAGAACAGATTTAAAAAATATATATATATATATTGTGTGCAAAATATTAAAAGAAACAACGTTTATTTAATTTGTGTAAATGTAAATATTAAAATTGCAAGTGTTGGTTAATTTTGTGTCTCTATATTGTGCTCCCGTTCGAGCTAATATCTACCGAGTGTTGATAACGTGAACGGGGTAAATTACATCATATATGTGGAAGTAATAAAAATATCAAATTTAAAGTTGTCTAATAGCTACCTAAAATTTACAAACTCACATTCACTCATCCACATATATAATATCATTTACTCCGTTCACGTTATCAACACTCGGTGGGTATTAGCTCGCACGGGAGCACAATATAGAGATACAAAATTAACCAACACTTGCAATTTTAATATTTACATTTACACAAATTAAATAAACGTTATTTCTTATAATATATTGCATACATTATTTAAAAAAAAACCTGTTCTGATGCACAATATGAAAATCCATTTCGTTTTATCATTCGCCACAACCAGCCTTCACTCGCCTCTTGTTTGACACATATCCCGTCTTACTGCGCACACTTGAGCACGCATATCACGAACATATGCAACTACTTTTTTCTAAGTTCGGAAACCTACATTTCGAACTACGAAACACCTGTATTGTTTTGTTCGTTGCCGCCAGTTGATCTCGCTGTTGCTCCAATTGCGCCCACTTTTTCGTCCACCTTATATACTCTTGCTGCTGCTCTTTTTCCATTTTCCTGCGCAAGTTCTACTACTTTCAGTTTAAAACCCTCTATATAGCTACTGTATTTTCTCATTTCAAGGACGCTACTTGCAAATTACCACGAATCCCAAATGAAAACATGAAGGAAAAGCGAAAACTTGAAATATGCGAATGTTCCAAGGAGGGGAAAGTAATTTCTTTACAAACAGTATTTCCTGAAAGCCAGTGTGATGAAAACCTGGAGTACCTTCATTTATTATCGCGTCTGCCGAGTGGATTGCTGGCGCCAATGTTATGACTGGATAACAGCTGCATAAGAATGCAAGGTTATTGAATGCAAGTCTCTGCTTTCCATCCTGGGGCCAACCAAAGGCAAAACAAATGCATATTCTTTCTTTAAAGATGTTTATTAAATAATGTTACTGACTAAAGGCGATGTTAAGAAATATATATTTTAAAGTAAGAAAATTCTTTAGTTTTTGGGGTGCGGACATTGTGCGAGTCACTGTTTTTTTACATAAATTGTATCTGTAAAGTTGGATTGCGGACATTACACGAGCGTATACGGTATGAGAAATATCTGACAGGATCCTAATAGCTCACTTGAAAAGTAGACCATGGGAGTAAACTCATTACCAGACCCTTTACTGCATCTGAGTCTGATCTTTGGTTCCTCTTCAGTTCTTATGTTTAGAATGCTAAAGATTTGATCTCAATAATAGGAACTGCAATTCCATATAAATTAGTTTTTCAAAGAAGCATTCATTTTCAAATGCATGTGTTATGATAGGATATTGAGAGTAAAATTCCCAGGAAGTACTACTTTCTTTTCTTCAATATTTTCAAATCTGATACTAGTGAAAGAAATTTCAAATAAAATATTGCAGTCAAAGAAATTGTTATGGAACAGTGAGGAAAATTTCAAACGATTTTCAGTTTTAAGATTATTATAACATCTAAATAAATATTGTCTTCAAAATGTATGTAATTCGTCTTACGATCATAACATTTTTATGCATTGCAAATTTAACACAATTTTTTAAAATGTCAGCACAAGAAGAAAATAAGCTTTTAGAAACTCTTTAAATAACTGAATTTTAAAATGCAGTAATGAAACAAAAGCTAAGTTACAAATTAAAATAAGAATTAAAAATATTATGTAACATTTCTGTGCTACACTCATGACCATAAATTAAGGATAATGCAAAATCAGGCAAAGGAAGAGTTAGAAGCAAAACAAATTGGACTTATTTGTAAAGCTTATTTATTAAACAAAAGTTAAAGATAAAAAAAAGATGCTATATGTTTGATATTATTAAAACAAATAGCGATTTTTCTTTCTGGAGCAAATTACAAAAACAACCTATTTAAAAAAAAACAATATTACATGGTTGGTATGATTGTTAATACATTGTATGTCTCCCAGACGATGCAATACAGTCCGTACAAACGCCTAGGCATGCTGAGTATCAAATTATCGATCTGATCTTGGGGGATATTACATCACTCAAAAAGCAATGCACTCCGAAGTTCCGGTAGACATGTAGGAAGGAGGTTGACGGGCTGCAACTCGTCGGCCAAGCATGTCCCACACGTGCTTCTACTGGTTCAAGTCCGGTGAGAATGCTGGCCATCTGTACGGGTGATATCCTCCGATTGAAGGCATTCGCTTACGATGTTTGCACGGTGAGGACTGGCCGTTGTCATCCATAAACACAATTGTGTGCCCATGCCCCGAAACAAACGTACATGTTGTTCCAGAATGACGTCCCGATAGATTTGGCTTGTCATGGTTCCAATTTGAACATGACAGGTCAGTTCTGGAACCCAGAATAGTTCCACCCTAAACGAACACTCCTACACCATTGTAACAGTGTCGTTGAATGATGTTTTCTTGGTGGTAACGGGTACCTGGAGCTCTCCATATGAAAGTCCGGCGAGAATCAGACTGCAAGCTAAACCTGGACTCGTCGGAAAACATCACACAAGCCCACTGTTGCGGTGTCCACAGTGCATGCTCTCTACTCCAGGCTAACCGCAGGCGACAGTGAGTTGCAGTAAGTGGAACGCATCTGACAGGTCTACGAGCATATAGACCAATCTGCCCTAAGCGTCTGTACACGGTCTGCCTTGAAATTGTCGTACCAGTGGCTGAAGAGAGCTGACGAGACAGGTCTGAGGCTGTGCTCCGCCTGTTTCTTTTGGCAGTAACTGCCAAATACCGGTCCTCATTCGGCGTTGTAACTCTGGGGCGACCTGTGCTGTAACGTCTACTCACATTACCATCATCTTGGAATCGTTGCCAAAGCCTGAAGATGACACTCTGGGCAATTCCAAGTTCGTCTGATACTTCCAGTTGGGTACGCCCACATTCCAGACGGCCGATAATTCTACCACGTAAAAAATCCTCCAAATGCGGCCTTTGTGTCATAACTATTCGGTTATTCCACTAAAATGCTTATAAAGCTCCTGCAAACAGATTTACTTCCTTGCCTGTATTCCTTATATATCACTCTCTTACACTCTCGTCATTGTGATGTACCATCGGTGTCATCTGGATAGTTCCTGAAATTTGCATATGATTCTTGAAGATGTGTGTAGTGATTTTACAGGTGATATGTATATTTTAGAGTTCGATTTCCGGGTGACTCCAAATTATCCTTAATTTATGGACATGAGTGTATTTAAAAATTCCCTTAATGTATATTGTTTCAAATAATTTTAACTAGGGCAGTACGATAATAATAAGGTGTTACTTATGTTTTGTGAGGTGAAATCTTCACCAGAATATCTTATCATCAACAAGCAGGCATCGAATTAAAAGACTTTATTCTATCTCACCATTTGTGAATCATTAAATTAAAATATACAAACATAACTTTACCAGCCAGTCTGAGCAGGGCTTAAAACTCAAACTTCCTTTCGTAATGAATGAAAATTTAAAAAAAAATTTAAAAGCTTTCTAATTTTAAATTACGCCCAAAAGGGACTTTTTTAACGTTTTGTGTGTTACCTTTATTTATTAAATATCATACTTTTATCACTTATATCATAAAATTCAATTCAGCAATATCACAAAATAATTTTAAAAGAGCATATCTGTATAATTTTCGATACACAGTCTTGCACGCTGGAAATATTTTTTCCTCTTACAATGTTGCCATTCCTAGCTTTGAAATCGTTCAAAAATTCGTTAAAGTTTCACAAAATTTGGAATAGACAATACAATATATTCGAAATTCAAAATTTAGGCTTCCAAATGTCCATGTTCGGTTGGAGGACTACGTTACACAAAATTTGAGGGCTCTAGGTATCGTTGTTTTTACACGATGCGAGAAACATACGTAAATTCATGCAGATTCTTCAGTATTTAATTTCTTTAAATATTTTTGCAGGGCTCTAATGTTTGGTGGCAACAATTTGAAAGCGAAACGCCGTTTATAGTGAACTAATGCAAAATGCCGAAACGAAATTAATAGCCCGTCTGGGCAAATTACCCCTTTGGGCTAATAATAAAAATCTAACTTGACTAGAGACTACAAGCTTTGCCTGGATCACGACATAAATTCAAGCACACGCCTTACCAAGTCAGTATCTAACTTCAGTCTACAATATTCAGAGCAATATCAGCACTGGATTCGCCGTAAGACTTTGATTTAATCTACAAGACAACGGTCCACAGGCCGAACTCTCACACCTGTTTGTAATTTCTCTGTCACTGCTTGCCACTCAAATCTACATAAATTCTGGAATGCATGAACATCGTTTCGAAAAGAATCAGAAAAAAGTAATTTAAATAACAATTCTTCAGTAAAGCATAAATGCCACACTACAGCCAACACAATGTAATACCTTTAATGTAGGAATGAAAACCAAGTGCTAGTAGAATGGGTATGGTAATTCATGAATTTTTTATAAATATTGTTTTTCCTTTCTAGCATTACCCTCTTTGAGAAAGATCGTTATTGTACCATCAAAAGAAGAATCAAAGTTTAAAGATATCAGCAAAATTAAGAACAGGTAATCGACTTATTTTAATTTCCTAGCCAGTTCCGATAGTATGCAAACTTCAAATGTTTAAGCTGACTTCTATTTTGTTTGTGAAAATTTATCTTCACGACTCTTTATTATCAAACAGATTTTTACAATGGAGATTTTATTTCTTCCATTGTGATGGGAAAAATTTACATGGTAAATTGATCCATTTGCAAATTTTAATAACCGCTCTAATCTGTAAACACATGTTTCAATTCTAGGTGATAATTTTACTCAAATCAAGGAGAGCGCAGGTCCTGGATTGTGCAGAACAGTCCCACATTTCAGTGCAGTTTCCCCTTTTAGAATGTGTCACAGAAGATGTCTTGCGATCTGTAAATATTCCTGAATTTTGTAAATATAAAAGAAGATATAAAATATAATTAAGATGTATAATTAAGAAGATATAAAATACTCGGAAAATAAACAGTCGTTTTGGGTATGAAATCGAATTGGAGCTAAATGGGGTGAGATTTGTCCCAAAATCACAGCAAGTGCGTGTATTCTTTCAAATCTCTAATAAAGTACTACCTGAACGCGGCTTATCGGGAGGAACTGGATTAAAACAGCCTAAATTCAATAAAATATTCTGTAAACCTCTAGTGATGATCATCTCTAAAAGTGGATAACATAACATAACATTAGTGGCGCTTCCTTCTTATGAAAAGAAGGAAAATAGCTTAGGCAATGTTGCCCATTGCTCTTCCGCCATTTAATCATTTAAGTCAAAGATTTTAAATGGTAACTCCCGTGAAAGGTAAATAATAAATAAGTAGATAAGATCCCAAACTGACACCAAATATATAGTATCAGCAAAAGATCCCATCTCTAAATTCAGGTAGTCCGTTAGATCGTTAAAACTTTCCAATTGAATGAAGAGCCAATTCAATCCATCCCAAACCACCAAACGCAAACTCTTGACCAAACAAGAATATGATGGTGAGTCTGGAAAATAAGTAAAAAAATAAAAAAATTAATTAATTAAGGAGGGCAGAGGTACTTTCTTAAGCCAAATGGCCAGGTGGTGTATAAAGATTTGATATCTATTTCCAAATTATATTCCAAAACACTGCTATGAGAGGGAAATGCCCGCATAGTTTCTTTTACAAAAAAAAAAAAAAAAAAAAAAAAAAAAAAAAAACTCACAGATCGTCTCAATGCATGTTTCTTGTGGTTTCAAATTCACCTTACTTGTAGGTGTTTAGTATATATCAGGAACCCTCTTATGCAAGAGAGCCCTTTGCATAGAAGGGCTTGATCAAAGCTAACAGGGGGAAACCCCAGGAAGTTGTTTCTAGGGAGAGAAAAGACCGGACATCGTCCCAGGAAGTGAAAGGGTGTTTCCTCTTCTTCTCTACAAGCTGGGCAGAGAGGAGATTCGACAAGGCCACATTTGTGGAGATGATTGGCCAGATAAGCATGTCCGGTAACAATTTGAATTACCTGGCGTAAATTAGTTCTACTGAGGTGTATGAGTTTACCTGATAAGTTAAGTGTACTGAGCGCCAATTTAGAATGAGCACAGTTTGGTAGTTTAGACCATATATCATCATGTTTGTTCTTTATCCAGCTTCTTACTTCTTTTTTAACAGTTTGATATGAAACTGGGTAAAATTGTTCTGGGCCAGACATGGGTAGTTGCGAAACATCTTTAGCTACTTTATCAGCTAGTTCATTTCCAGCAAAATCACAATGACCTGGGACCCAAACTAAACTAATGGTGTTATGGGTCTGAGCCAGAGAAATGAGATCTTGATTACAGTTCAAAACGCAATTTTGTAACTTGGCACGATTATCCAGGGCAAGGATAGCTGATTGGCTGTCAAGTGGATACTATTCTTGCATTACGTGAGCTAACGTATCATGTTTTGCATGCCCTGACGTATTCTTGGTGTTGATATCTGCATATGCATCACATTTCTACTGTGTGGTGGTTTTTTATTGTAATGATCGCAGAAAGCCCATTCTATCAATTTTATGACTGCGTGTTGAAAAAGGAAGCTGTTGCTTAAGTTCTAGACACTACTGTGTATTATATCATTTTAAAATATATTAAATTATGGCGTTGTAAGATAATAAAATAAATACATTTAGTAGGTGTAAGACAAGCTTTATTTAAATTGATTGGAAATATTAAAAAAAAGAAATAATATTATATACTTTTTACTAAAGTTCATAAGATAATATTGAAAAATTAAAAAAAGACTAGAACGTGAAATTCAGTGCAAAATTTCGTAGATTGAAGTTAAACCGTTTTCCCTTCTTTAATGTTCTGCATAATGAAAATTATTATAAATTTGAGTCAAGTTAAAATGTGCTAAACATTTTAGATTTATTTTATCGTAACTTTTATACACTTAAGTACTGCATGAGTTTTATCTCACAGTTTTTAAAATATTTGCAGTTTATTTGGTTCAAAAATATGAAATCATTTTGAAAACTGTTAATATTGAATTTTTGAAACTGTTAATCCAACTAAATTGAATGCGCTTAATCCTTTCCCAAGACGACTTTCCCATTTACGGTTTCACCGATTTTGATCTTCTATGGATCTAGTCGTTTCGAAAAGATATTCAGTATTAATGTCCTTTATATTTTGAGATATACTGGTAACTTTCAGAATTGACCGCTCGTCCAAGAGAGTTTTAGAGGTTTTCTTAGGGATTCCCGAACGAGAAGTTTTAGTATATTACATAAGTACCTATACTTTTTATACTTTTTTACTTTTTATACTTTTTATTCCCTGTGAATAAAAAGCCGACCCTATGAATTTTAAACAGATCCTTCTTAAAAGAGAATATTAAAGGGAACATATGTAAATTATTCTTATGAGCAAATCTTGCCCCCAAGGGCCCCGAAATTCTTTAAATCGAACTCTGCTATCGATACTGTTCGGATATTCGGAAAGCTGAAACGTGAATAAATTTGTTCTTTTGTCGTAATTGGAACCACAGATATTCCATTTGAGAGCTGGGCCTGCTAAACATTTACACTGCATCAACACATAGAGAAATATCCAATAATTACTTGCAATCTTAGATTAGAGGTATAAACATTTTCTTGAAATAAATATGTATTTTAATAATTATTTTCAATTAGCTTTACAGTGCTATTTATATGCAAATATTTATACAAAATGTAACATTTCAGCTGCTTCCTGCATGATTTCCTGTCAACAGGTAGAGAAGCTGATGGATCGGTTGCACCCACGATGTTTGAGCAAGTATCTTTTTCACATCCCGTATTCATCAACTACACGTCAGGAACTACTGGTCTGCCGAAGGCTCTTTTTGTAGGAGCAGCGGTAAGTTATTTTTTAAATAGAGGTATAGTGCATAACGATAGTTATTGTGAAAATCTAGTCATTTCGCTAAGCCTTCCTTCAATGCAATCAAAGCTAACTCATATTATTTCAGTTAAGACATTACAGGAAATTTCGTTTAATTGTAACTCGGCAACTGAAATAATCACTTTAGTGTAATTGCGTGGAATTACCTTATTTCCAGGTTTACTAGAAAGATTAAGCATTGCTATTATTTAATTTTCTTTTTTACGTTACACGACGTTTTTAATACCAGTCTGCAGCAATGTACTTGTTTTAAATCTAGCAACATTGCTAAAATCTGCATATATGTTAATACAGAGTGGAGCAGACAAAAGTGGCCCGGAGAACAGAGTTCTGGATTGCAAGGAAACACAGCAAAGGTAAAGTAAATAAAAATGGTCCGGAAAAGTGGATACGATTGCACGTTAAATGTATGCATATAACCATACAGTGTGATGCACAAGCCAGTTCAGAGCTAGTGTGGGCTGTATCAGTGTGAGTTGAGAAGTGCAAAGGTGAAGAGGATACCTACAGTGCAGCAGAGGGTGTTCGCTGTAGAAAGTTATGTTACAACAAAGTCGTGGAAACAAAGTAGTCAGTTGTTTGCTCATAAGTTCAATGATGTCAAAGTGCCAGCTAAGAGTGCCATGTAACGATTAGTCTGAAAATGGTATCAGACAGGATCTGTTTTGAACAAGTCCAACAACATTCCCAAACGTGTCCGAACACCAGAAATTGTGGCTGCAGTTCAGCAGGAAATGCTTCAGAGTCCTATCAAATAAACCCGACGCCTGTCGCAAGAGACCGACATATCACGTCGATCATGCGGACTAATACTCCACCTGGACCTGAAAAGGCAATCCCTATAGAGTGTGTGTTGTTCATGTATTAAAACCAGCAGATGCTACTCAGCGCCTCCAGTTTTGTGAGTGGCTGTTCACTGAGATAACAATGAATGGTTTAGACATGGATCTTTTCTTTATTTCTGATGAAGCCTGGTTTCATCTGAGTGGTTATGCCAACTCACAGAATCACTGGTTCAGGGCAGGGAAGAATCCTCATACCTTCCACCAAACACCATTGCATGATTAGAAGGTTGGGATTTAGTGTGCAGTGCCTGCAAGCGGCATTATTGGCATGCACTGGAAATTCGAATAATGAAAAAGAAATGAAAATGAATTTTTTGCAATATGAAATAATGATGATATTTTCCTTGGAGCATGATATACTTTTGTGGCAAAAATAAAATTTTCTTCGATTTCTTTTTAAAATAATAAAAACATTTCCACTTCACTATTAAAATGCATAAAATGTACATAATTTTTATTAAATCTGCTTTAACTTTATTACGCAGACATTATTTATAAATTCAACAAATTGAAATTGTAGAATACATTAAAATTTTCCATATTAATTTTATGTACTTTATTTCTACTATCAATTCGCGATATTATATTCACAAATAATGCTAAAATAGTAAAAGGAAATTTTCTCGATTTAAATGCTCTTTAAATTGTAGAGTCATTATGTTATTTTGAAGCAGGAGATGTAAAACATATGCAACTACCTCGCGAGGGCTCGAACCTGGACCACTCCAATGCGCGCTAAGTGTACTACCATTACACCACGAAGGCAATCTGGAAAGAGGGAGAAAATACCTTATATACTCCCTGTTTTAAAAGGCAACTGGAAATGAGAGGACCCAGTCGCCAAATCCTGGTGGTAACGAATCATCGTCCACCACATTTTTTTTTCCTTCGGAAGCCAATATACATTAGTTCATTAGTTTGTTTCTTATGAAAGAGGCGTGAAAACGTGAACTACACCCGCCCGTTACATGAAGCCACGTGTTTGCTACAGGAACATTTTTCTCCTAAAATGTTCCTGTAGCAAACACGTGGCCTAAAAGGTAGAACTGACGTTACGTTTGGAGAGATTGAATTAGTTAATATATGGGTCTTTTGAACATTTAGCTTATAAGTTCGTTTTTTTAATGTTTTAATGTTTTCAACCTATTTTATTCTACTCAACCTGAGTGATGTTTTTTTCTTCGTCGCTAGCAAAGAACTTGTGATTCTTTGTAACTTTCACCACTTCTGATTCTTTGAAATCACGCTAAAAAACTTATTCAGGCCTTAGTATCGCCATTAAAAATTAAATGCAAACACGTTATGTTTGATTTTAACGCAATTGATATCAATTCGACCGACACGTTCAAAACAACACAGAGGGAACACATTGCGATTCACATCTTGTCTGATAGATGGCGCCAGTAGGCAGTGGTTGCTTTGCGAGTTTCAAGAACCACCACAATGGTTTAAAAAATTGCATTAGATACTTTTTTAGCAATAAAAAGCATGGAATAAAAGTTAGATCTCTTTCATTGGATGATTAGCTGAGAAACATTTAAACCCTCGAAATAAATAAAGTTTGCTTCTAGCAATTAAATGTTGTACTAACGTACTGTTGTAACTGCTTCCAAGGGATGACACAATTCATATTCCATTTGACAACTATGAAATAACAGTCAACAAAATATAATTCTTTGCATCCTCTTTTTTAGAGCCTCTTGAGTGTTACTAGGGATTTTGGTTCGTATGGAAATGAAGTTAGAGAACGGGTATGGTTTTCCGTTTCACCGGTAAGTCCTAGTAAACTACTTTTTATTTTCATTTATGTTTTAGTAATAATTTTAAAGAGATGAATACCCTGTTGAGGGACCTGTTGAGGACCCGTTTTTATCATGGACATTTCTTCACGACACCAGATAATAAACATAAAATAAATTCACAAAAGTATTTTTCCATTAATATATTTGGGGTAAGTAATATACGGATGAAAAGAACTAGTTTAGAAGTTTCTCAAGTATACATATAATGTGTTAAAGAAAATTATATTTGAATGAGATGGACGCCTTTGATTTTTCTGTTTAACAAATTAACTTCGCATGCAGCATTTGACCCTGCTGGGACGTGAAGTATCTTCAGTGTTTCCCAATATTTGGATTTATTACGCATTAAAGCTGTCGTTTCACGTAAGTATGTGGTGCTGAATGGCACAAGAAAATTTAATGCTATTTCAAACATTGTAAGAAATTTATTTCTAACTTCGATCCAGCAATCAGTCGATGATTTTGTGGAAACTGAAGTTAAGTCGCCGTATAGCTCAACACATTCCTCTTGAGATTTATATAGACTGTGATTTATCTCACTAATGTCAGTCAAAAATGGTTTGGATTATAAGATGACTTTGTGAAGCAAAGTTCGATATAAATTATTATATAAAGTATTTACAAAACTGTGTTTCTAGGATTTTTAAGTAATCTTTAATAATTTTTTCAATTAAAGTTCTAAAGGCTTTTTTTTTTTTTTTTTTTTTTTCTATTATAAAATTATCGATAGTCGAAAATATTCTTACGTTTTTCTTTTCTTTCGACACCAGTTGTTACGTTATTTTCTTCATTCACGTTAGTACGGGGTTCGTAGATTTGGAGTGAATAACGACGACACTTGATGAAGTTTCGAAACACACTTTATTTAGTCAATGTTAAGCAGAACAGCTCTAATAACACTTTTATAATGATCGTCGATGATCTGCTATAAACACGCTGGAACACTCAGCGACACAGCCTTCACACTGTCTGGCAATAACGGTGGAGACAGCTTCCTGCAAAGCACCAGAGTGCAGCTCCCGCCTCTGCTTGGTCGTTTCCGGAACTCCACGTACTCTTGAGACTCTCCAAGCTACAACTCGCGATGCACTCGACGACACACGAGCACAGCTCCCGACTCTTCGGTTCAGTCGTTCCCGGATCTCAACACGCTCTCTCACGATGCACTAACCACGATACACTACCAGACTCCTTCGGTGCACTCGACGACCCACTCGGCACTCGCTGTCCGGCTGTCAACTCGATCCACTCCGCACGGACTGACTCGCTAGACGAGACACACTCACTCGCCCTCTCGACGAGGTACTCTGACTCGCCCTTTCATTGAGGCACACACTCGGACTACGGGCCAGCAGCGTTTATATAGCTTTCGGCTTGTGTTCGAGAACATTCTGGGCTAAACCGGTAAGAATTCGTTCTAGAAGGTTCTCCAACCGTCCATGGTATATAGCCATTTTGTCGCCAAATGTCGCCAAAGGGGCGATTTTTCGCCAAATGTGGCAGCCCTGCCTTCCTTTTTATTTTATTGCAACCCTAAAACTGCTGTGCGGGAAGCCATCTTACCACGCCTGTATACTTCGTAACAATATTTCGAAGGAATTATTTCCCATCTTATTCTTTCAGATGTTGCCCTTTTAAATAAAACCTTCAATTTGACCAATTGAATTAAATATATTACATTTTTTTCTCGAAGAGACAAGTTGATATTGTTTTGTTTCTCAAAAATACCTGACTAATAGCTCAATTTTGATACTCATAAGTCATTTTGTAAAAGAGCAGCAAAATCAAACATTTTTTCGGTAAAAAATAAAATAAGTTCGTCTTTAATAACAATAATCTTCTTGAACTTCATTCTCTTAACATCCATCTTACTTTTTGCATGTAATAATAAGTTTTTATATACGGATTCCATATCTTTACGTAGATTCGAAAGTAAAGGCCTTTTAAAGGCAAGTCTTTTAATAAAGATTATAATTCTGACAGCATCTTGATGCACATCATTCAATTCCATTGCTAACTGTTTTGCTGCAAGGGTCTCACGATGCAGTTTAACAAACAGCAGTTTTAGCAAATGATTTAAAACCATCATTCCCGCCCTTCATCCTTTTCGTAGTATCTGTGCATTCTCTAATGCAATTTTCTCATTGTAGATCTTGAGTTTTAAAACATTCGTCTGCTTTATTACTCGTATATACGTACTCTCCCTCTTGCATATTCTTCCAAAGGAAAACTTCTTTTCAGTTTTCTCATTCTAAACCTTGAGTTTTAAAAAATTCGTCTACTTTATTATAGTATATGTACTTCTCTTGCATATTCTTCCAAAGGACAACAAAGTTACAATTCTTCATTGTTTTTTGTTCTTTATAAATTTGTATCTGGCACAGCCTAACAACTGAGCTACTTCTGAAATATCAGTTGGTCCAACTGAATAGTAAATTTTCGGCTTTCTTTAAGTCTAATACCAGCTTGTGTAACACTATCAGTGGTACGAAAGTTCTGTTCCAAGCCAGGGAGCGGTGCGCGATGCGAGCTCGCAGTTGGTGGGCTGTTCAGTATCCATATAACCAGCTGATAAGGGGAAAGCGAGTGAGCTAACATTCCAGTTTGATAAAAGGTTATCTTTTATTTAGTGTTTTCTACCATAATTTCCTTTAACTTAAGTTTTAGAATTTTAAGCCGAATATGTTGTTGCATTATTTCTATCTATATATTCACTTAACACCTCTTATTTCCGACATTAATTGCTTATTCGTATGGCCTTAATTTTAGATGTAAATTTTTAATTATTTTCGAACATTTCAAACTTTTCAGTTTTCAATGTACTCTCAATTTTAACATATTTCGTATATTTTGTGTCCATAATGACGTTTTCCATAAACATAATATATGACGTTACTAATTTTTACTGTATTGCACAGTATTTTCTTTTCATACTTTTAACCAAAATATTCTTAATTTTAACTTATTTCTTATAATTTCTATATATGTTTTCCGTAATATTAATTACGTTACGAATTTTTATTGTTTATTGCATTTTATACAGAAATGTTTTCATACTTTTTAACAAACATACTCCTAAATTTATCTTATTTCTTATATTTTCGGATCACAGACGTGACCTTTACTTAATATTTTACTTATTTCATGCATTTTAACCTTCGTAATTATCAACATGCTATTAATTTTAACTTAATTCCTATATTCTCTAAAAATATACATGACTTTTATTTAATTTTAAACGTAACTTTTAACTTCTTTTGTATTTTTTAACCTTCAGAATTTTCAACGTTTTCTGGTTTTTAACTTGTTTATTATTTTTTACGAGAGTAGTTACTCAAATGAGGCTTTTATTTAGCATATTATAATTATAATTTTTTTTAATTTTCAGAATGAAATTCCAGCTTTTATTCTTGACTATTTCCACTCATTTCCGCTCATTTTTCTTACTACTTCTGAAGTTAATTCAGTATGTTTTGTTAATTCCCATCATTCATATTTTTATTTTTTACATTATAAGCGAGCTGACGACAATTATTTTGCTCTACTAGTTTTTTCCCTAAATAATTACTGCTATATCTTCTTGGACAACTTTTTGAGAAAAAGAATTTTATTTGCGTGTGTGTGTGTGTGATTATGGCAAAGCCTCGAGGGCTATCTGCCTAAGAGGAGGGATGCCTTCGTGGGAGGACTTTCTAAGAGAAACTGGCTCGCATACACGTTACACATGGGAAAACCACGAAAACGCCCATGCAGCCAGCCCGTTCGCGGGATTCGAACCTCGGACCGAACTACCAGTGTTCAGCGACTTTACCGCTCGGTCGCTGGTGAGCGAATTTTATTTGCATTACGTATACAGTGAAAAGACTGAATACTAACAGTCTTTTGCCACGGAAAGCTAATTAGACACTGCTAAACTTGTACATATTAATTTAAAAGGTTTATAGATGACATTTTCAGTAATTTTTATAACTCTATAAAAGTTAAGTCAATATTCCCATTGTTGCCATTTCCAAATACATGCGTCACCAGTTATTTATTCTGATTAAAGTGAAAAATCATGTAAAATGAAGTAAAATAGAAAATATCTAAAATCAAAAGCGTTATTACGATCGTAAGTTATAAAAAATGAGTTAAAGTTTTGAGTGTGTTGGAAATTAGAAAGGTAAAAAGGGCCAAAAATATGTACAAAATTAAATAATATGCTAAATAAAAAGCTTGCATTTGGAATAATTAATTATTCTTATAAAATATAATAAATAAATTAAAAACGGTAAAAAGCGCCAAAAATATGAACAAAATTAAATAATAATGCTAAATAAAGCTTGCATTTGGAATAATTAATTATTCTTATAAATATAATAAATAAATTAAAAACCAGAATATGTAAAAAATTCGGAAGGTTAAAAAGTACACAAGTACAAAAGAAGTTACGTTTAAAATTAAAAAAAAAAAAAAAAAAAAAAAAAAGTCATGTATATGTTTAGCAAATGTTTAGCAAAAATCAACTTAGAATTAATAGTATGTTGAAAATTAGAAAGGTTAAAATGCATGAAATAAGTAAAATATTAAGTAAAGATCACTTTTCGAATCCGAAATATTCGAAAATATGAGAAAAATAGCCGAAAATATGAGAAATAAGATAAAATTAAGAGTATGTTGGTTAAAAGTATGAAAATATTTCTGCGTAAAATGAAGTAAACAATAAATATTAGTAAAATGATTAAGGTTTCAAAAAACAAATATGCTGTTATGAATAGAAAATATAAGAAATAAGTTAAAATTAAGAGTATTTTTGTTATTATTAGTATTATTTGTATGAAAATAATGTAGCGCGTAAAACCGTAAAAATTAGTAGCGTCCCATATAAAGATTATGGCAAGCATCATTTTGAATACAAAATATATGAAATGCGTTCAAATTGAGAGCACTTAAGAAACTGAAAAGTTTAAGATGAACGAAAATAATTATAAATTTTCATCTAGAATTAATTAATTAAAATTTACATCTAAAATTAATTATTTGAAAATTTACATTCAAAATTAAATCATGCGAATAAGCAATGAATGTCGTAAATAAGAGGTGTCAAGGGTGTATAAGGGTAAGGAATTACGAAATAAAATATTCGGCTAAAAATTCTTCATCCTAAAATTTAAGTTAAAGAAAATTGTTGCTGAAATCTAAGTTAAAGGTATTATTTTATCCAATTAGAACGCTTATGTCCGTCCCTCTGCCCATACCAGATGGCTGTCTGCATATTGCATTATGTACGGCCCGCTCACCGTGATTTCAGTCATTGGTCTTGTTACTCATGTTAAACCATTTATCCCAGAATATTAATAGTATACAATTTCTAGTAATAATTATTCAAATAAATAACAGTCTTACTCGAATAAAGCAGTAAAATACTATATTACATTGTTTTGAGACGTATACACTAATAGCGATGAAACTAACTAACTGTATTGGAAACTATTATACTATGAAACGTATAATAAAAAGCGTTATCATTACATAGAGACGCCGACCTTGTTCTTGGCAGGCATGTGTTTACTGAAAACTTTTATACAGAAATAACTTCGAAACTGAAACTGCAATGGAACACCTCTATTACGATGAACTTAGTGATGTTTTTCAATATGTAAATATAATTTACAGGTCAGTTTTTCCAATATTACGATTTTATAATTGCGTTGTATAGAAAATGTAACATATTCGATTGAAAATGATTGAGAAATTGCGAATAATAGTTCTGAATTAACTTTCCGCTACCGCAATGTTTCGCTTTGCAACCCCATTCGAGGTTGCGACCCGCATGGGTAGAGACTATGGATGGAGCTATGAGTCGCGTCTTACTCAAGATGCAATACTTTGTTCTTGTATTACATTTCCAGGCAAGCTAGTTACTGATTATTAGATTATTCTCAGCCAGACACATGAAAATTCAACGGTGTCTTCCTCGGAATTCGAACCCAGATATTCTAAATGCTAAATCGAATTGCTATTCTCTCACGCGATTAGTGAGAGGCTGATGTCCGCCGATAACATCGCGGCAAAATCATCGCGGGCGAAAACGTCGCGGAGAAAACAATGCAAGGCGAAAACGTCGTGCTACAAAACATCGTGGGAGAAAACATCGCAAAGAGAAACATCGCAGTTCTAAAACATCGTGGTACAAAATATCGTCGTCGAAAATAAAGCGGTTCAAAAACTTCGCAGTTTAAATCGCGGTAAAAAATAAAACATCGGTAAATCATCGCAGGACGATAACATCGCAGACCTGCTTTTTTCAGGCCTTTAATAATTGTAAATGGATATTTCCATAATGATTTGTGAGCGCGAGATCGAAAGAAAGATAATTTTTTACTTTCATATTTTTATTAACTAATAAATTTTTGCTGAAAAAGTAAGAAGGAAACTTAATACTTAACAATAAACTGAAACAGAACAAGAAATAATTTTCATTATAAGAGTATTAGCTTGACAAAAGTGAAGAAAATAATCTTATGAGCAATTTTTTATAGATAAGGTCGTGCAGTTACGTAGCTTCCTTTTTCTAAACATTTTTAGATTATACTTTTAATGAAAACCAGTAAAAACTTTATAAAAAATCATTTATTAATGACTTTTGTTAGTAAACTATGTCAGTTTAAAATTCTATTAAGTGCTATAAGTTGCCTTAATTTTCTATGCTAAAATTCCCTTCTTACTTTTTCAGCAAAAATTTATTAGTTAATAAAAAATATGAAAGTAAAGATTAGATTATCCTTCTTCCCATCTTGCGCTCACAAATCATTATGGAAATTATCCATCTTGCGCTCAAAATCATTATGGAAATATCCATTTACAGTTATTGAAGCCTGAAAAAAGCATGTCTGCGATGTTATCGTCATGCGATGATTTGCTGATACTTTATTTTTTACAACGATATTTTCGACAACGATGTTTTTAAACTGCGAAATTTTTGAACCACTTTATTTTGGACGACGACATTTTGTATCACGATGTTTTATAACTGCGATGTTTTCTCTTTGCGATGTTTACTCCCACGATGTTTTGTATCACGACGTTTTCGTCCGCGATGTTTTTGCCACGATGTTTTCGGCTGTATCCGACAGGCTTGATGTTTCGCGTATATATTACGACAAATTGCGTGTTTCAGGTGTCTTACAAATACAATTTTGTTAATAATAAGTGCTTCAGTTTAGTATTATAGACTCATCAATGAAATGAACTAATGCCATATCATTTGAGCATCACAAGAGTTACAGCTGAAACAGTTATAGATAATATAATGTTAAGCACTCTATCTCGAAAGAGGAAAAAATAACACGAAAGCTCAGACCTAATTACATCACTTAGATTGTCTGAAAGACATCACTTAGATTACATTTAATGTACTTTTCTACAAGTAATTACTCTGGTTTTTCTTGAATGGCTGAGTCCATTTTAAACGTAAGATCCATGATGATTGCATTTTGAATATAGAGAGATGGTGGTCTTTTTAGACGCAGTAACAGCTTTTGGATGACCTAAACTTTCCTAGCAAACAACATTTATAAAATAGCTTTCATATACTTACGATGACGTTCGATGAAATGCGTGAATTTGTGCTGATATTGCGTTGTGCACCATCAGTTTACTACTGATAATTTAATAATATCTGAATGGTATTCCTAAACATTTCATAGATCTAAAGCCTATTTAAAAACTCTAATGAATTTGCTCATCATATTCACTCGCAATCTTAGGAACTTAAAACAGGAATGCTTAATACCACCTGCGTTATACGACGAATGCAGTGATTGCAATATCAGTACAACGGTATAAAGAATACCAGTAATTTGTGCTATTTTACAATTTCATGAAACCGGTACTTACTAAAGTAAAATACTGGTATTTGCAGTACTAGCTATAAATATCTAATATTTTTTATTAAAGGTGTTAATTCAATTTATTGGGCATCTGAAATGAAAAAAGAACTTATGTCAATGTTAGATTCTAAAACATGTTGGATCAGTTTGCTCGTAATAATGAAATGATTTTAGAAATTGAAAAGTCCAATTCAGAAAGAATAAACGAAGTTAAATTTACAAATTAATTTTTCCGATAGCGATATCTATTTAATATCTGAAACTGTATCAACCATGCTTCCAATAATGCTGGCTAGGGAGGTGTTAAGTTAGAAGTATTCCAAGTTATTAACATCAACTGTAAGAATAAATTTTATGTTGCAGTTATTTAAAGATCAGGATATGCCACTATCTAAGGAATTATGCAGATATTATGAATGAGGAATTTTTCAGTGTATTGAAAATTCACATAGAAGAAAGACATTGTGAACTTGAAAATATTTGAGGGTACATAATTGGAACGACTTGAAAAATGAAAAAGAAGAAAAGATGCTAGCAATGTCAAATTTAATTAAGTTTCCGCAAAAGAAAAAATGTCCACCGTGGGGAACAGACGTTTTCTAGACAGGTGTTGAGGAAATTAACACTTGCTTATGAGAAAGTCCGTGTCCCAGAGTGCACCAGATATGCTGTTAATTAGTATAATTTTTCATAAACAGGTATTGATTAAATCAACACCTATTTATGAAAACGACTGTTTCCTAGAGTGCACCACATATGCTGGTAATAAGTGTGGTCTAAATTTCGTTACAGGTTGGCTGGGTGACTTGGAATATATTTTCAAGCATGCATTTCTTAGGTTGTACTGTCGTGTTATTTGAAGGTGTACCTTACTTTTTGAGCAAGACTTCTTTATGGGATCTGATTGACGAATTTAAAGTCACTCACATTGTTCTCCCTCCTAGCATCCTGGATGACATGGAGAAAAAAGGATATCTGCCTAGTAACGAAATTTAATTTAATTTTATTCTTTTTTCTTAATGTTTTAGACTGATTGATGCTTTAACTGAAAATATCTCTTAATTACGAACTACTATATTACCACTCCTTCCCAAAGTTAAGGGCGTATTTTCACGTAAATGCTCGTTTGTTTATTCGAGTAAGTTAATGCACGCTTAATGGTATCAAAATACAAATGAGCTGCAAATGATTTTCACTGAATCTTAACAACTTAATTTTAATTCATTGGTTACATTGCGATGTATATTGCAAATGCAGTGTATATCGCATACAATGCAGTGTATAATGTATATTAGTGATTAGAGGTATTTGCTTTTAGAGACTACAGTTCCATTTAATATCACACTTATAAAGAGATGTAAAGCATGCCACCATGGCTCCAAAATTTAATAACAGATTTCAGTTATTTCCATTTTATTCAAAATTGTTGTGCATATTATATTTTATATAAATATACACAACATGCAGGGTGTTCTACAAAGGACTCCTGTTTTTAAAATTAAATAACAAAGATTGATAGAAGATTGAAACAAAATGTATGTTTATTGAGCAAGTTGCAATAATCTGATACAAAAGTTTCACATTTAGTTACAAATGTTGCCAATAGGTGGCGATGTAGTCGTAGTACATTAGAGAAAAATGTAACAAATGTGTCCTCTGAAAGCCGTCGTCGGAATCACATCACAGTCTTTTCAAAATGTCCTCCTTTCAGTACAGATGTGGCGCAAACGAAAAACGAAATTTTCACACACCTTCCGTAATATATTGAAGGAACTAGCACATTCCTCACAGATCGACTCTCCAAGCTCGTTCAGTATTGCCGGCATCTTCTGGAAGACGGTGTCCTTCAAGGTGCCCCACAAAAAGTAATCACAAGGAGTAAGATCGGGTGCATGAAAGCCACTCCATACCTGTTCCAGTGAATTTGGAATAGCCCAAAGCAATAACTCTGTCCCCGAAGTATTCCTCAAGGAACTGAAACACCTGCTTGGTGCGGTGTGGTTGGGTCCTATCTTGCATAAACCACAAAGTGCCTGGTCAATCCTTCAATCCTAACAGTGTGGCGACAAATTGTTCCAACATTTCAACATAACTGCCAGAAGTGATTGTTTCTGTCAAGAAGAAGGGGCCGATAGCATCTTTGCTAGGTACTGCAGCCCAAACTTTTGGGAAATGCAGTGATTTTTACTTCATATAAATGGGGGTTTTCAGTACCCAAAAATCGCAAATGTTTGTTTGTTTACAACCCCATTCAGGTGATAGTATTCTTCATCTGTGTTCATATGCAGCCAACATCGAATCCGTCATCATCAATCTTTGTGAGCATTTCATTTGCGAAGTCTTCTCTCTGTTGCACATCTCGAACGGGAATGGCTTGATGACATTGGATCTTGAACGGAAACATGTGTAGCCTGTTTCTCAGTATTCTGTGCATGCTGGATCGCGTTAAGGCGAATTCTGCTGCAAGTCTTTTGGTGGAGACTATTTCATCAGCCCCGATCCCTGTTCGTTGATATTTATCCAAAAACAAACGAATAGTTTTCGAATCAGGACCTTTCGCAAACGTTAAATCAGGATTGAAAACTATACCTTGTTGCCTTAGGACTGTAATTTAACCTGTGAAATCCCAGTATACAGTACCAGAATACAGTACCAGTATACAGTATACAGTATACAGTACCAGAAAAACACGTTGTTCCGTGGAATACATGATTTCATGCACGACCTTAGATACCCTAAAGTCATTTCACGTTTTAACAGTGGAACTGTCAGCAGATTGATCGCTCTGGACATCAGATCATTCTTTATAAGGACTCCTTGTTGGTATTACAGCGTAAAGCGCAACCTATTGGAAACTTTTGTAACTACATGTGAAACTTCTGTATCAGATTTTTACAACTGTCCCAATAAGCATACCTTTAGTTTCATTCTTTTATCGAACTTTGCTTTCGAATTATCTAATTTCAAATATGGTGATACTTTGTAGGACACCCTGTATATACTTCATACTATATGAATTACGCATATCATTTTTGCACATTATTAAAAAATTCGATAATTACTAAAATCGCTGCATTTTAAGAAATTACCCGTTTCAATAGCATGTTTGTATACTAAACGGTTTAAGCGTCATATGTGTGCATTCAAGAAAAGTGTAACAATAGAAGATTGGTATAGTAGCAAGCACCAATTCAATTCTGGTTCATTTTACCGTCTTTTGAGCCGCTGTATGAGAATGAGGATTACGATAATAGAGTAAGCATTTGAATGTCATTCTTGCTCTTTTGCTACAGACTGCGAGTTTTATGTTTTCTCAAAGTAAAGCTTAGAAATTTTTTATGTTAACTGGGATAGTCGCGTTCTGAAAATGCGCAAAAATAAGCCTGTTCATTTCGAGAAAGCGAATCAACAATGATTTCTTTCTACAGGTGCTGATTTTTAATTTCCTTTTCGATGGAGAAAATAAATATTTCCTTCCCAGGCTTTGTCTTTTGTTCTTGATTTGAGTATGCCTATGTGCTTGGTATGCAGCATATCTGTTGTACCTCCGTCTTTTCGAAGTAACAGAAATTTCTGAAACCTTCGATTCTTCTTTAAGTTTTAAAAACGCAGCCTCAAGATGAACTAACTGTTGTTTGTAAATTAAGCTGTTTGAGTTCTTGCGTGTGTAAAACTTGTGGTATTCTAAGTCAGCATATTTTATAATTTGTGCAGAGTCATATCTAATTTCTAACTGTACACGCATTTGCTAAATCATTATGGAGAAGTCTTCTGTTATCAAGAAATATAAAGATGTTGGCGAGGGACTTAGACTGACCTTTTTCAGTTGTGCCTGGTTCTTCCAATGTAAATCTTTTCACATAAGTATTTCATTGGTATTTGATGTGTTTAAAATTCCATTTTGAGTCAACTTCTGATAAGGAATTTTCCCACGTTTCACTTCCAATGACAAAAGAAAACACATTGTCTCGCATTGTTAGTGGATGATGTACACTCTCACTGGCTGGTTCGAATTAATAGCCTAATTGTTAGCTAATTTGTCTATCTAATGACTGGATCCTGCCTATTGGACACTGACCACTCTTAAGTGGTGACCATTGTATTGTAGGGGCTCCTAATAAGTAGCCACCGTTGTTTCCTATGATGGACGGGCAGATAGGAAACAACAAAAACCATGCTTACCATGCTATTTACAACAGCCATGTTATTTACAACCACGCTTTCTGCGGTATTCGAACTCGGGTCTTTCAGTATCGCAGTCGGTTCTGCTAACCACTATACCGTCTAGGCGAATGTGTAGTAAGTATTCACACGCTATATTCTAAACTCCCTTAACTCACTGCAAGCATTTTGCTTTGTGTAGACTTCTGTCATTTAGTAGCTGCATAATTTCAGAATCGATTTATATGTCTAATTGCTCCTTGTAATTTTATTTAATCTCAACAATTTATATGTTCACTTATTTGATTAAGTATATAAATTAAAATAAATTTCATTAATTGCTGTTTGAATAATAAATAGCGGAACGAAATAGTTTGAGTTCACTGGAAACTATCATCAGTGCTGGAAGCGTTGTCAAGCCACAAAATTATGATTTTGTCTGCAACAAAATAAAAAAAGGAATCCTGTTCTTTAGTGGTTTTGGTAAGATATATTTTTCAGAATTAATTCTTGCAAATATGTTGTGTGTAATCGTTTTTAATGCTAAAACACAAATTAAGTGAACATGTTTTCAGACAGTTATTGCACCTCAACACAAACAGTTACTCCTTTCTGATACTCTGGTCCTGTACCAAGAATTCTGCAGCAAATCAGCAGTACTCTTTTCAAGAGGAAACTCGTTTGCAACATAATATATACAACCTTATAAAATCAATAAAAAAACTATGACGTGCACCCACATATTAACAATCCTCTGTGAAATAAGTTGCTTATTTCACAATGTATCATATTGCATGTTTCACAACATATTGCATATTTCACAATATATAAGTATTTCTGCGATTTAATAAGAAGAAACATCAAGACTTAGAAGGATGGAAGACTCACTTATACTAATGAATTCCATTAAAGTCAATCTCATATTGTTAAACGTCAATCAAAAGGAAACTCCTCCACTGTGACTTGGGCCTTTGCAATTTACAGGTAGCTGATTAATCCTTCATAGTAACATCCCTTTAAAAGCAGCCAGTTGTTTCATGATTAACAAGAAAGGAAGAGTATACTAAATTGTTCATTATCCAAAACTACAAAAATTTCAGAAATATATATGCCATCCTTTTCATATTACTTCTTCATTTATATAATTCAAAATATAAATGTGCATTGTCCAAGTTGTTCTGTAAAATACCTTGTGCTTCAGCTAAAAAAATGACAGCAAAAATGAATTTCACAAAGCATATTGGTTTAAAATAAATATTCTGTGCAAAATAGCATTAAAGGTCTGGACTTCTTTGCAAGTATACTATATCTTAAGCCAACTGCAGTTTCAATTGTCAGTAAGCGGGTTGTAATTATTCTTAATTTTACTAACAGTTAACTGAGAACCAAACCGTATCTCGTGTTTCATTAATCAATGTCACAATAACCCCTCAGTTAAAAAATTATGCAAATTTTAATGCATGCCGCTTAATTTAAAAGTAGGGCTTTAAATTATCTGTGGCCTCTTGGAATGTCTTCCTGTTTGCCCTCGTTTCGCAGCCGTTAGAGTGAGTGTAAAATACTCTTAGGATTTTATATCTAAAAATTTGAAAATGTTTTTAGTATTGCAGGGAATGCCCAGCTGCGATAAGATAGCTTCCCCGCAAAGCAGGTTGGGGTTGCCAGAAAGTGGCACGAAAACGCTCGTTTGGCGACATTTAGCGACAAAATTAGCGATATGCTATAGAAGAAGTGTGAAAAGTCTAGAACGAATTCTTACTGGTGTTCCCGAGAATGTTCACGAAGGCAAGTCAAAAGCTATTCTGTCTATGCAAACTCTTCCTGAACGCGGACTATCTTGAGTAGTTTACCGTAAAGAGTGTCTTGAGTCTGATGAGTTCACTAGTAGTGCTTTGAGTTCAGACATGAGCTCGAGAGCGATCAACCGAGTCTGGAGTGTTTTGCCATGAAGCTGTCTTCACCGTTATAGCCTGATTGCCTGAAGACTGTGTTGAAGATTGTTTCAGCGTGTTTGCGTAGTTTTTCGGCGGCTGTAAACGTGGCTTTGGAACTCTCCTGTGTCATAATGAAGAAAAAAAATTGTTTTGATTTTTATTGAAGTGTTGTCATCAGTTACTACAAATCCATGAAACCGTATAACGCAATAATATATATTCAACTGGAATGAAAATTAATATAAATCCATATATTTCATGTTTTCCTTCAACGGTTTGGAAGTTCGATGACATTATCAGGTTTAAAAGAATAAAAAATAAAAATCTGAGATGATTTGAATGATAAATGTCAGAAATCGTAGTTTTCCTGCAATGTTCTTTCAGTATATTTGTTAACAGTTAAATGTGATTCTTTAAAGTCTAGACAATTATTTGCAATTTCTGTCAGTTCAGTGGTACAAAATGTTTTAAAAAGTTATCTAAATCTAAAATACATAAATTGCATTATTTCTTTCACGAAAACTAAATTTTGTTTGAATATTAATATCTGAAAATTATTGTTCATACCATCGCTAAAATCCGGTTATGTTTTAGAAAATTAACTGGAAAAATGACAGTACCTCAGTTTCTAACTTAGCGTCTACTATTGCACACGCTTTTCAGAGAAAATGAATTTAAAGAGAGAATAAAATTTATATTTAAATATAAAGTAATATAAAATACTTAAATATAAAATTGCTACTTGAACTATAAAAGCTTAATCTAAATACGGATAAATTTATTACTAGTTTATATTCCCTCTATTCTTCCTCTTCATGAAAAGCGTAGGCAAACTCCTACATCTTTTAATTTGATATAATATATTAATTATTTTTAATTCCTAGTACTTTAAACTATTGTAGTTAATTTTACGACATTAAAAAGAATGATAATGAATGGACTTCATGCTAAATGAATGTATTTTTTTATCTCAGATTTTAAACTTATTTGTTAATAAAGTCTTAGTACTATGCCAGATACAAACAAATAATCTATGTTCTGTTGCTTTGACTTAAACCTTTAAAATTAAATTTAAAATGCCTTAGCTTTTAACGATAAATGCATTGCACATTTCAGGATGCACCGAACTAATGGGATTCAGCGCAGGACATGATCCTTCCTTGCCTGTTTACAGAGGAGAGCTTACTGCTCCTAGTTTGGGCACTGATTTGCAGTGCTTAGATGAGGAAGGTATGCTGTTACTAAGATAAACAGTGATAAATTTCAATATGCTGTAGGGATTGGTTTGATGTTTGCTGCCATAAGTAAATATATCGTTATTAAGTAACATCTCATTAATATGTTGCACACGAAAATTTAATTGAATGAATAATTCAAAAATGGTTTCATTCTTTCTTGTCAATTTGTTCTAAATGTTGAGTCTAAATTAGCTAAGTGTGTATTTACTATGAACTACTATAAGACGAAAATTAAACTTGTTTATATAATGCTTTTAATTTTTTTTAAATCATATGTGTGATGTTATAACCTTTTCTCTGTAAAAATAAATAATATCTTTATATCACCTTCCAGATATTTAATTCTGTCTATGCAAACTCTCTCGGAATGTTCCTAGCTATGGAATTCTATCTCGCAGTCTTTCTTTAGTTAAAATATTTTTTATATAATAGCCTTTAAAATCAGCCATAGAGTGCCAAAAATAGTTTCGCTAAACAAAAAAATATGTATTCTTTTAATAATAATAGTTATTAAGCCTAATGAAATATGAGCTAAATTTGGTAAATGTATAAGTTTCAAATCCAACGCCAGGCGATTTTTAGAAATTTGTTAAAGCTTAAAATGTTTTAAGTTTTTAAAAATTTGTCAAAACTAGCAGAAAAAGTTTTAAACTTTCAGGTCAAGATTCATGCTTATCAAATTAATTTTAATTAAAATTCAAAGCTAATTGAGGCTAGATATATTCGATTTATCCATTACAATAAAATAATCATTTAAAAAATATATTAATCTTTAGTCTTTCATAAGTGTTCAAATTTAGACCCCTTTTGATTAAAAATTTTCGTTTCGGCTTCAAATTGGTTTTAAACTTGTAACTCTGTTTATTAGATTACTTCTTTTTTATCCCATCTATTTTTCGTGGACTTTCGCCAGACCATAAATATGATTGAAATGGAATAATACCTATATCTGCTATTTAGCCAGTTTGCGTTGACACTAATTAGTACAACTTATTAAGCTATAAACTAAAAACTCCCAGCTACGTGATAGCTGTGCTCCGGATTGTTATTTTCTTATTGATATATGATTTATTAGTTTGTTAGGAGTTGTTTTTAAGCAGGTATGAGTTAGCCGCTTAAGATTTGGCATATTTAAATTTATATTTGTGTATTGTTCACTTTAAATGTTTGGTTTAATTGCCTTTCCCCACAAGCAAAGTGGTGTAGAGCTTTATTTTCATGTTTTTGTAAAATCTATGAGTTTCAGCATTTTTTGTTTGTTTTGTTTTGTAAGTGTATAAGGTATTTCCCCCGCCTTCTTAGAATGCCTTCGTGGTGTAGTGGTCAGCATGCTCGGCGCGTATTCGAGAGGTCCGTGGTTCGAGTCCCAGCGAGGGCATTGCTCATTTTTCAAATCTCATGCTTCGAAATAATCTAGTGTCTCTACAGTGGCGCCATAACTAAAAAAAGGTGGTCGATGATGATTCTTCGCCACCAGGGTTTGGGAATTGGGTCTAATCCGCAGTCGCCCTTTAAAAGGGGGAGTATATAAGGTATTTCTCCCGCCTTCTCAGCATGCCTTCAGTTTAATTTTAGTTAGATCAGTTTAGTTATGGTAATATTTCTCCTGATAAAATTTAAGATTAAAAAACTTTAGTAAGCAGTTAAATACTTACTGCTTAGGTTAAATAATGAATCAGATGTTTTACTGGTTTCCAAAGATTTAATATTTTGAATATTATATGTATTCTTCTCTTAATTCAAAATCATAAACTGTTTCACGATTTATGGTTTAATGTATTGTGTATGTGTTCCGGGATTTTGAATTAATCCGAAACTAATACGTAATTGCAGCTGTTGTTGACGTTCTATTTTATAGAAAATTCTGTTATTTCTGTTTATTGAAGCTAAAGAAAAGCCGATAAACGTTTAAATATATTTTTAAGAAACTTTTTATATGCATATCCAAAGTGTACTAGCTATTGCAAAATTTTAAACAGCACATTTTTATTGTTTCCTGTCTCTCTGATTACTCAATTGCAAGAAAAAGCTCACTCTGAGGAAGTTATAAAATAGTTTGTAGGGTTTATATTTATTTTAACTAACATTTATTTTAACTAACATTTATTTTAAGTTTAAACTATCTTTCCTGTCAAGCCTTACTTTCCCCTGGAATTGCCAATGCCAGAGTACGTAAATTTTAGTAGAACGCGCAAAGTATTAAAATAGTCAGCGGAAGTAATTTGAGTTAAATAGAAGGGAAACAAGTTCGATAGTGTGCTTTCTTGCTTCACGAGCGTGGAGTGGCTAGGTAGAAATTGAAGAACCACGCGTTTCGGCCTGTGTGCTTGCCTCGGCAGATAGTCGAATCTTTAAACTTAATATTCAGAAGTTTGCTGAAATATCAGCGGTATCTTAGAACGCGGTTAGGTTAGTTACGTTTAGAGAGCCTCGTAGGTAGTCATATTCATTTTTAGTTTCTTATTTTTATTTTACCGCCGGGTCGGTGTAGTTTGTGAGCGTCAAGAGCACGCATCCATCTGTAATTTCTAAAGTTGAATAAAAAGGGATTTAAACCCTTCTCAAGACTTTGTGCACTTTCCAGTTCTTAGCAGTCACCACTATTGTTGCGTGCAGGTTGGGGCCGTAACATCAGAAGCTAACGCAAAGAAACGAACGTATTAACTGTAATTGAAAATTAGTAATTTAACGTGTACCATAGAGAATATTTTTTCTTCATTTTTACTATAATAACTTTCTTCTATGGCTTTAGATGCCAATTTCTTTGAGATAAGCCTCTAAACATTACTTTCTGATCTTAGATTTCTTAATGTTGTTGCTGTGACTTATCTCACTTGACTGACATCAAATATGAAAACAAGCCCACGAAATTCATTGTGGTCAGATTGCGCCTGTCGTTGTCAATAGCCTTGAGCACCATGCAGGCTGACTTTGCTCAGTTCCGCCCCCCCCCACAGTTTTGAAGGAGAACATTGCGGGTGGGTCTAAAGGTTTCCGACACCTCTTTCTCTATCACCAACCTCTCGAGAGGATTCGTCTCGCCGCATATTTAGAGTGCCTCCATGCTGCACAGGCACTATACATTAACAAACGTTCATGCCTTCTCCGGGATTCAAACCCAGGCCTTTCGGTACAGCAGTCATCTTCGCTAACCACTATCCAGGTTGGGCGGCTAGATTTCTTATTTTTAAGTAATTTATAAAATACTTCAAATCATTTATATCCAAATAAATTGAGCATTTGTATTGGAATCTTGCTTGGCAATTTCTTTTTAGCTAAATCGTGGTAATAATGTTTTAGTTCTTTAATATTCCAGTTATAGTATATTTTAATTGAATGCAATTCATCCTTTTAGAGCATCACATTGTAAGGATTATGTTAATTTTATTAACAGTTAAATTTTAAGTTCCTTTCCTGTCAATTTCTTAACTTCAACTTAATACTTCTGCCAGAACGTAGTTTTGGAATCTTTCTGAATATTTAATGAGAAGGAGCGGTATTTACACCGAGTAGTTACTTGTAGATTTAGAGAGAATCAGAGTTTCTGATTTACGTGCGTCTGTCTTTTGGCCACTCTCTCTCTCAAAGTTGTTATCGGCCGTACTCAGGCCCTTGATAGCTTCTCAGTCATTTGGAACTGTTTAAGGGGACAACTGCATTAGAAACTTGATAGCTTCGGCTATACTTCTTTAGTTAATCTTAGTTTTAGTTTACTTCTTAGTCTCTTAAGTTCAAGCCCAAGTGTCGGCTTTGATCGTACACTCCAAGACGGAGTTTTGTTAAATCTTATTGGAATAATAAAGGCTTAGTTACCCTTCCATCTTGTTGTTTCTTGTCACACGAACTTAAGCGATTATTCGCTGACTAGTTCTTAAGATTCGTCACTTTCTACAGTAACTTAAATTTACACTGGTGAGAATCTTACATCATTATCCAGTAAGATTAATTAAAGTAACATAGCGAAAGAAAAAGAATGCAGATGTAAAGTAACAGGAGCATTTTGAAATTATATCTCAAATAATCCAGACAGTAATTCTTTTTCATGACGTTTACCAGAACTTCGAGGTTTCAGGTTCGGGTGGAAAACAGTTTTTAGCATTTATTATTGATTCAATCTCATATTTTGCGAAATCGCTTTACCTTATCGGCTTCACTTAAATTCCTGTTAAACTTTCTTGACTTTGAAAGCCTCACATGACAAGTAGTTAAGTAAAACTAAGAGCTAATTTAAAATGTTATAAATTCCCCAGATGTAAATTTTTTATGTGTAGTTTAATATGTATTATATCTATGCACTCTTTTGAAGCACGATGTCTTTTCAGGCAAACCTGTTATAGGTGAAGCTGGCGAAATGGTGATAGCAAAACCATTCCCATCCTTAGTTCTTGGCATATGGGGCGATAGTGATGGATCAGTGTTCAAGGAAAAGTATTTCTCCAAATTTCCAGGTAGGAAAAGAATAAATCATTTAAATAAAGAGGAGGTCTTAACAAAAAGCGGCTCTATAAAAAAGAAGAAAGTCTCTAGAGCCAATTAGAAATGTATTAGGCAAAACTCAACTAAATTTAATATGCATACTTTTGAGATTAATAGATCAGATTTCAATTTAAGATCTAAATTTCCCTACTAATGAAGGTATGTTACCACAATTATAAAAATGTGCAAAATTTTATTTAAATTATTATGTAAATTTCTGAAGAATGATATCATAATTTGGCTAATGTAACAAAACGAAAAAATTAGATGCGTCCATCTGATAAAAATTCAAACGTTAATTTTATGTGATGGCATATTGTTAGTAAAGATCCATTTTACAAAATGTTATATTGTTCTGCCGTACTTCCCGAAATTCAGACGGTGGAAATTTAAGAAACGGAGCTATTAATTTATTTCGTTATTTGAAAGAATCAAGTTTTAAATGTGCCTCTAAACCGATCCCAATGAGTCTGAAATATAAGAAAGGTTCTAGTGGTGCTGTGAATCAAGATGACGCATGGGGAGTGCTCAGCTAGTGTCCAGGCAACGGAATAAATTGTATGCAACGGTGACGTAAATCATGCGTAAAGTGTTTTGTCTATATCGTCAGCCATATTTCACATTTGCTTTCAATAGATATGAAAGCTCGGTTACACTTTATATTACAACCTTTTATTTAGTTCAATCATGGTTTTACCGTTACGGTTGAAAGTTTGTCATTGATATTTAACCTATTTTATTATACACTACTCGACATTGAAAATACAACACCAAGAAAGAGTGGCCAGAAAGTGATAAAACTTGGCAAACAGAGAGTAACAGCAACGACAATAAGTGATCTTTATTTAGAAATGATATGCGTAATACAGAGCGGTAAAAGCGTCGCTGAGTAGGTTTTACAACCACATTGGTACACGAATTTAGTTTATATATATATTTTTTTTTATCCTACTGAAAAAGGTGCGTTATCGTACTGAAAAAGGGCACTGGGCACTCTCTGAAGGTAAGGGACTGCCACCGGTCGCAGCACATCATCCATGTATCGTTGAGCCGTCATAGTGCCCTGAATACGAACTAGAGGTGACATGTAATCGTATGCAATTGCGCCTCAAACTATGATGCCCCTTTGTCGCGCGGTGGGGCATTCCACTATTGCTGCCGGATTGGACCTGTCATAATATTATATTCTTATATAGATTTTAAAATTCTAACATCCAAAAATGTAGGTGTTACAAAGATTTGAAATTTCAAAGGTTATGAAAGAAATGCTTCCGAAAGGTGCGAAACATGTTGATCTGAGGAATGTGATATACTTGTAGTAATGTTTATATAACTGATTTCTTGAATTAAGGAAAAATTTAGTACATATTAGAAATATTTGTGTACGTGGGGATGAATCTATTATTTAAATAATTCCTTGAATAATTCAATTTTTTAAATCTAATGTTGAAACCTATTTTCATACATATCTTCATTTAACAAACCAACTAAAAATTTCAAAATTTTGGCAAAAATGACAGTTTTTTATAATTTTATTCATATTTTATATATTTAAAGATAAAATGTCTTTCAGGAAAATTTTCAATTGGTGACTTAGTTGTTATAAATCCTGTCACGAGGGGATTCATTGTTTGCGGAAGAAGGTAAAATATATCCCCGTTTTGAATCTCATTTTCAGTTATTGCTTTAAATTGTTTCAGATATAATGTTGCATTATATAGTTCTTTATATGAGAAGATTATGCTATGAAAATTCCTGTCTTTAAGATAAAATTAACTATTAAGGAACGATATTCTTCCTTATACCTTTCCTTGTCTCTCAGTCCAAATGGAGCACAGAAAAGAAAATTAAAACTGTATCTGTAGAGAAATCTAAATGGTAGAAATGTTAGGCGTATATGCAGAGTGCTCTAGGATTAAGTCAGCAAATATTGCATTGCAATTTGTGGCCGAAGATAAGCAAAAACGTGTTATTTGAACACGTTGCCTGACATGCATAACTTACGAGTTACGAGATTTTAAACATCGATGGGAAGCGGATAAGATTAGCTGCCTTTTCCATGCGAAAAAGTTGAAACATAGAGTACAGCAAAGGAATAATGGGTGAACAGACTCCATGTTGCCCTGATTAAAGGACAAAGTGCAGGTTTGGGCAGTGAATGTTAATTTTATGTTGATATTCTGATAATTCACGCCACTTTTGATGCAACATGCAAAGCAGATCACGAAGACGTAAGGTAAATGCTATGTTAATTGTTTGAAATACAATCCATCAACATAACCGAAATTGCAAAATCATTGTTGTAGAGACTAATGGACACGTTATAAGACATTTGGGTCATTACGAATCCGTTTGACAACGTGCACATTAGGCTGCTGAAATTCGCGAAAATTAAAAATCTAAATGTTTGATACGTATCAGAGCTCATAATGTGATACCGAGTAAGAAAATGCTGCTAGAATATTAGCACATCATAACTCGTAAATTAAGTATTTCTTGTCATGTGTTCGTTCATAGGACACTTTTTTGCTTGTCTTCGTCTGTTTACTTATTTTCATTCATTATCCTTTTTCGTTATTTCTGCCGGCTTTTGGCAGCTTTATTTTGGGGTACCCTGTATTTTATCAGGAATTTATACTTATGGAAATGTCTCATTACTCTAAAAATTAAAAGTCGAATTTTGGAACCCATTTGTTTATTTTATTTATTTGTGATATCCTTAAAAAAAAGACAGAATAAAACTTTTTCTCTAAATTCCAAGTAAAGATATTTCGTTATATTTATTTTAAGTTCCTAACCGGGTACTTTAGCAGATTCCCTTCCATAAGGAAAATAATTAAAAAATCAGCATAAAGCTCAGTTTGATTGGCTCACATGCAAGTATAGAAGGACAGTGGTCTTCCCACTTTTACCTCACTTTACAGTTCTTGGAGTTTCACCTCGTCGCTCGTCCAAATCATGAGCCCTCAGGGGCTCAGTTTTGTTATTTAGCTTATTAATTCCAGTTCTTGGGCAGTATCAGCAACTTCATTATCCGTCAGCATAAAGCTTATTTTATGCCTTATTCTACATATAAAAAACTGATTTTTAAACTGTTGCATAAAAATATAAAAAGCAATTTTTAATCTTTAAAATGTTGTGAAATAACGACTCTAACACAGTACCTTGTACATCGTCATTTTTGTTGGTAAAAGGTAATATGAAACTTCATATTTTCTGTATAGCATTACTTTATATCCCACTTTGTTGTATTGTGTATACCTTTCTTTTTATTGTCTGGACCTTAATCAAGCATGGAGCTTAATTTGCGAATCTATGGTAAAATTTTGCATTTGACTTTTAATAAATCGCTTTATCATCTTTTGCAAGGGGAATTTCCCATTTAAACTAAATGAATATTTCATTAAACAGTTTTATTATTATTATTATCTGAAATTCGACTACTGCCAAGCATGCAAGGGTTATCTATCTAAGGAGAGGAATACTTTTTGGAAGGCCTTTCTAAAAGAAATTAACTCATACTTACATAGGGAAGGGTCACTCAAAAACATTATTCAACCATCCATCCACAGGGACTCGAGCCCAGAATACATTAAATACTCTCCGCTAGGTCTTCTGAATTTGGCCACAGGTTAACACTTATGTGAATTTTGATAGTGGTTTTTTCTGGTTTGTGAAACTCTTTGCACATTCTGTTTTCTCTTACTGAAAACTTTTGTCCTTGTTTTCGCTCAGAATATGCTATTATTTCTCCATCAACAGTCTTTATGCAAAATTAAATTTGCAGTCTTTCTGCATAGATTCGACAAATGATTATCATAATTAAATTCATTTTACTATGCAAGTACTAATTGAAGAGCCTAAAATGGCTCTAATACATGTATATTATCTCAATCTTACAGCAAATAGTACTAATCTGCTGTCATAAGTAATATTTTATTGCAGTGATTTATATCCATTTTTTCAATACTTAGGATGCAAATAAAAAATCTCTCAAGTGATTTAGTACCATTTATTCACTTTGTTCGTCTTGTAGTAAACAATCAAAATATTCTAGCAACAGGGTACCTCTTATGAGGTGCACGTGGTATTATGTGCAAATGTGCAAAACATATTTTAAATTATAGTTTAAAAAACAAAAATTAAATTAAGATTTTGAACAGTTATAAAATTATCCGTAATACTCAATATACCTGAAACTTGTTTTCAACATATATTTAAATTTTCGTATTCTGTTCTTTTATAATAACTGTCTGCATTTAATACTGATAAGAATAGAATATTTATAATTATCTATATTTATAAGTCTATATTATATTCCAAGAAAATACAATAGCAGAAGTTTTATAATTTGTTTTTTGTACAATGTTGCGAAAGTGCAATCTCAGCTAAGAATAGGTTAAAATTGGTTCTGTTGAACGAAAGACTAAAAGAATTCATAAAGTATAATCAAAAGATATTCGGGTACGGGGAAGCAAAAAATAACTATAAATAAAAATGGTTGATTAAATTTTTAAAGCGCAAAGGAAACAAAACTAAACTGTCCAGGAAAAAACTTATATCTATAATATTTGAAGGTATATATAAAGTGTTACATTATCAGTTGTAAGTAAAGTATTATAACATCAAATGTTTAGATCAACTGCACATAAAAGAATGCGTTCTATATCAAATCGATAGAGTACATTATCTCGAAAGGTCTTTAAATGCACTCACTTTTATTTACTAGTTAATGCAAATAACATTCAAAGTTAATGCAAATTCTTTGACGAATTATAAGTAACAGTATACTATTTCACGGGAAACGGTAGCTCTCTAATATTGAAAATAGAATTTTTTTAATTGCATGTAAAAGGAAACTGCTGTTGGCCTAGACTGCATAGTCAACAGAATTGTTAAATTTATATTTCATACGGATGCATATTTTTTCTTAGAGCCCTATAGTAAGCCATCATTCTTAATAGACTGTTTTGAAACTTGAAAAATATTGTTATTTTAATGAATGAAAACGTTGAAGCACAGATAATATTTTTACTCAGTTAGTTTTCTCTTTGCATAGGTGAAGTGTTATACATTTAATATCATAAGAGCCTTAAATTCCAAATTTGACCAAAGTGTGTACTGAGTAATAATTAGCTTATATTTAGATCATAGTTAATTAAAAAATGTACTCTAGACTAGATAAAGGAAAGAAATAACTTTAAGTAAAATAAAAAAAATCTACTAATCGAAATACGCTGTCTAGATCTTCAATGTATACTGCGGGGGGGGGACAGCTTTATATCTCTCGTTCTACTCGGCCGATTGACGGAATTCAACTTGCGTTTTTATGTCTCGAAAGCGTGACTTAGGGTATGTATTAGATTTATATATAGCATTGTTTTAATATAGGTATTTTGACACAAAATTGGACATTTTTCGATTCCATATTTCGATTCTACGATATAAATTATGCCTAAATATTAAATTTTATAAAATTTGGTGTGAAATTTACGGAGAAATTCAAAAGTTTATCTTTGCGTATTTTTTCAGTTTGCGCCAAGAATAATTCACTTGGCTTACTTCTTAATTCATAGCAACCGATTTTCCTTTCTTTTATTTCATTGTTAAACTAGCGTAAAAAAGTCATCTTTCATTCTTTCAAATACTTTTAACAAAGTGCGTAAACTACATTTGACGTTATTATCGCTTATAACAAATTTCCAAATTCAATACGCGCCAATGTGTAAATTCACGTATATCCTTGGAAATTTTGAATAAACACTCTAATTTTTTACAGGTGTGCTTAGAAATACATCTAGTTGAACATGATGGTAAAACGTTTATAGGCTGTAGTTCGAAATTTTTTTCAGTACATTTTTAGAAATTATTTTAAAATACAAATTTTAAAAATAAATCATAAAAAATGGGCGAATTTTATTTGAAATGAAATTCTGGAAATTCTAAATTTCGAATTCTGGAAGAAGGAATCAAATACGTTTAATAAAAAAGCGATATAAATAAATATATATCAAATTCATTTAACATTGAGGAGCTAAAAGTTTGAGATCTAATGTTTTAAAATGCACGCGGGCGATTTTTACAAAACTTGGCAGTTTGGCATAATTTGAGTCGTAGAATCGAAATACGGAAAAAAATGGCATGTCATTTCAGAAAAGTCCGATTTTGTGTTAAAATACCTATATTAGACCAACGCTATATATAAATCTAATACATATCCCAAGTCGTGCTTTCGAGACATGAAAAACTCAAGTTGAATTTAGTTAATCGGCCCATCAAACGGGAGGTATAGAACTGTCTCTTGTTTTTTAATGCGCAGTGTTCGTTTTATTCTTTTCCTGAGAATGGTTGTTGATTAATTCTCTTCCAGTTCTTAAAACAAGGAAATAAGAATCGTAATATTCAGCATCAAACTATAATTTGGCCATTACGATTTGCATTAACACAAATTTGCGAAACCTCACTTTTGACAAAATTATATCTTGTACAACGTCGTAAAAATCTTCGCTAATAATTATTACTGATGGTAATCATTTTGTTGGCCGTGATATATTGAAACTCGAACAGAGTACATACTTACTAACTACATACTTTTAAGAGCTCTGTCTTAGCCTCACACTTAAAAATTATCTAAAATATCATGTAAAAAATGATAAAAATACTTATTGTTGTCATTGACAAAAGAAGTAAAGCCTTGTTATTTTTCTAAAAAATTCATGTTTAAAATCGAAATCAGTACTTCAGAATGCATACGAAGTATTAAAATCATTTTTGGTAACAAAATATTTTTTCATCACCATACTTGCTCACTCGCATGAATAATTTCGACTAATTAAATATTTCATACGGACATTACGTGTAAAAATACTGTGATTATCTGTGATTTACATAAATAAAAAATGTGTAACATTATACCAATAAAACTCCTCTTTTCATAAATGTAATATTTTAAATTGATTCATTTAATCTATCTGTTTAGTGATGCCACTTTGAAACCTGGAGGCTGTCGATTCGGAAGTTCGGAAATTTATAATATTGGTAAGAATTATTTCTTTAGTTTCTTTAGTTATAAGCTGTACAAGATATTTCGTTTCTCGTATTGGCGTTCGTGTTTGCTTGTCAAGATGTTTTGTTTTCCAATGAATAACTCACAAGTTGAGAGGAAATGATATCTTTCCAATAACGGAACATACAGTTTGAACTTCTGTTTCTACCCAAGATCTTTATTTATTCAAATTTAAAATATTCTATCACATTTTGCAAGAGTTTTGAACCGTAAATTGTGTTAAACATCATAGATTATTATAAACAATAATGAAACGCATATGAGAAAATAGTACATAATTTCTCCATTTAAGTTTCAAATGCCTTAAACGATATGGAACTAATTTTTAAATTTAAGTGTACGGAGACAGATAGCTGCGAATTAATAACTTCATCAAAATTCTAAAAAATAGTATTGGTCATATTAGTCGCATAACATTTATCAGTTTTGATTTTATGTTTTGATCGTCAGTATTCTATGTGTTTGATTCCGTTGTTACTCTTAAATAGACGGAATGTCGACTTGCTTGTCTTAAACCCTCAGAAGAGTTCAAGAAAATCACAGACTCGTTAATTCGTTAACTGAAACGCATTTATTTTTTCCTTGAAGACGTCGCGTAAACTGAAGAACGGGCACTCGTCAAGCATGCAGAAATTTGTGATTCGTTGTAGTTATTGTCACTTATCTCCCTTGTCTAAACTCAGCGATTTCAAAGCGAGCAGTGGTAACACTCTGCAGGAAAATAAATGATATCAAGCACAGAAGACTGTCTACCGAACTTCTAAAGATATGCTGTTCCTTAATATTTTGCGATTTTACATTTGAATTGAATTTTATGTAACGTAAACACAAATAACGTGATATTTAATAAATAAAGTACACACACAAAGCGTTAATAATAAAAAGGCAAAAAACAAAGTTTTGCAAGCAAACTATGAAAATTGAATGTTGATATGATGAGAAGAGACTGAAAAAAATAGAAAAGGTATGACAGCACTTAAAACTGCACGAAATTCTTCGTGACGAGAGTGCAATAGGAGTTGCGTCTATCGTTGGTAAGAGTTTTGAGAACGATATAGGTTATAGCACGACTTTGCAATTCTGCCCCCCTCCAATTTTACAGGAGAGCTCCCCATGGAGGAGACAGATCCTAGGGTTTCCCACCCCTGTTTCCCTATCCCCAATCCACAAGAGGACTTTCGGCTCGCCGCATATTTAGAGTGCCCTCATGCCGCACAGACACTATACATTTATAAATTCCAGAATTCAAAACCGGGCGCTTCCGTATGGCAGTCAGCGTAGTTAACCACTATTCTGGTAGGGCGACATGGCAGAAATCTTAAAGATTCTATTTCTCAAAATTCATCGTAGCTGCATGCTTCACGAAAGCATACACACTGCAGTTGGACCTCCACACTGAACAATCACACGCGTAATAATTAGCAGTAAGTTATTTTAAACATTAAAAAAATTTGCTGTGTATGAAAATTCTTTCTAAAGGTAAAAAGAATGAGAAATATGAAGCAAAAACCAGTTCTGTTAAAAGAGATCGACAATGAAATTTCCTGAAATTTAATTATTTAACTTTATAAAATATTTTTAGTATATTTAACGTTCATTTTTACCTAATAAGTAAGGAAAAATATTGAAAATTTTACAAAAGATCTGTCTTTTATAGAAAGAACAACAATATTTGAGTTTCTAATAACATGAACTTATACACAATATTGGATAACAATTGGAATACATTTGAAGTAAAATTTAGTAACACATAAAATACTAATCCGTATAATTTATAGATATTGTCTGTTGCTCAAAATTGCTCCGTTTTCCTTACCTATCAATGACACTATTTTTGAGGCATAAGAAGTATTATGCATTTTACAGGCTCACTTAATCATACATGTATTTCAATTTAGGAAAATCATGTATAATACAATAAACAGATTATTGAAGGTGCTAAAGCAAAAAAAATATCAGTGCAATATCCATAAATTTACAGGACTAGTTTCGAAGGTTCTGTATTTAAACCTTCGAAATTACCCCTGAAAATTTATGAATATGACTCTGATTCGGGTTGCCTTAGCACCTCTAAATCTCATATAATCGTTATGGTATGTTGTTTTAACTCATATTCATTAAATATATATTAAATCGTACATTTTTATGATTTTTGTTTCATTTTCAGTGATCTGATTTTTAATTTGATAGTGGAATCTTTTCCTGAAATTCTGGACAGCATTTGTGTCTCTCAGTACAGTAAGGACTTAGTGGAAAGGGCAGTGCTCTTTCTGAAGATGAAGGATGGTTATTATTTCAGTGAGGAGTTAGTCAATAGAATTCGTGAGAAGATTGGAGAGGAACTAACTGTTCATCATATTCCAGAAGTTATCCTGGAAATTCAAGATATACCGGTATTTATATTCACTTTTATTTGTCAAAACTTGATGAATGCCTTTTAAAAGTTGATAATCATTTTACTTTATTCAAGAGCAGAAAAGGGTCCTTTAAAAACGCTAAATCAAGGTGTCAAAGTTCAATCAAGGTTTATTCAAGGTGGTGTTTTAAATTATTAGTCAAAAAACGTTAGCAAAGAAGGTCTATTAATTTCATTTTGGCATTTTGCGTCGATTCACTATAAGCTGTGAATCACTTTTCAAATTAATGCCACCAAATATAATCGCCCTGTGTTATATTAAAAGAAATTAAATAAAGAATAGTCTGCATAAATGTATGTATGTTTCATTGTGATAAAGCAACGGTAAGAGCCATCCAAATTTAAATAATGTAATCTTCCATAGAATAGAGGCATCTAGAAGGCTTATTTGGAATTTGAAATTTGTTTTATTATCAATTTCATATTTTGTAACACTTCAACGAATTTTTGATTAAAAACCTAAACGGTTTCAAAGCGAGCAATGGCAACACTATACGAAAGAAAAGACATTTCTATCTCCAGCGCGCGAGACTGTGTATCCGAAAAATTCTAAAGAAATGCTCATTTTAAAATTACTTTGCGATATTGCTGTTGGACTGACTTTTATGATTTGAGTACATAGAACTTGAAGATATATTCAGTTCGTTAGAAAAACATTAAAAATGAACACGTTAAATTTTGTATAATCAGCGCATACTTTGCTTATTATTAATGTTTTAGGAATGAAAGAATACTTGTTGATTAAAATTATGAAACAGACGCAAATTTTGATATATGCATTGCAATATAAAAAATAAAAATATAAGTCATTTGGATAGTATGACTAACTTGTTGGTAACAACAGTTTGGATAAGAAGGAACTACAACTGCTAGCCTATGTTCTACTGTTAGCCCAAAAGGAGTGTTAGTCCGGAATGGGATAATTAGTCTCAAAACGGCATTTTGCGTTCAATCACTATAAGCGGCGTATCATGCTTCAAACTGTTGCCACCAAATATTATCGCCCTGTATTTTTAAAGAAATTAAATAATGAATAATCTGCCTGAATGTAAGCTTATTTATCGCACTATCGAAAAACAACCATCAAATTATAATAGCCATCAAATCATACACCAGAGCCATCAAATTTTGAATCATGTAGTCCTCCACCTGAACATGGGCACCTGGAAGTCCAAATTTCGAATTTGTTGTGCTGTCTATTTCATATTTTGTAAAACTTAATAAAACAAAGTTTTTATTAGCAAACTCAGCGATTTCAAAGCGAGCAACGGCAAAACTGTACGGAAAAATACATTTTTATCTCAAGTGGAGGAAACTGTCTACAGGAAATTCTAGAGATATGCTGCTTTATAATATTTTGTGATTTTTGCTGCTAAATCGAATTTTATGTGACATAAACACCAAGAACGTGATATTTGATAAATAATGTACACACAAAAAACGTTAACAAAATCTAAAGTCTGCAGATGACGAATTGATTTCAAGATTCATTTTTTAAAAATATACTTACATTTATTAAAAATATAAAAAGGAAATTTTATAAAAGAATTACACAGATGAAACTCTTGAAACGAGATGACTTGTTCAACATCACTGAAGATTTTGTATTAATAAGGTTTTGTTTCAAAAGTAAATATAAAGAGAAAAAAAGAAAATCTGAAAGGTTTCAGATTTCAAATTACGTTCAAAGGGGATTTTTTAATATTTTGTGTGTTACCTTTATTTATTAAATATCTTGTTCATTGCAGTTAAACCATAAAATTCATTTTAACAGCAATATTGCAAAATAATTTTAAACTGAGCCTATCGTTAGAATTTCCGATACGCAGTATCACGCGCTGGAGATAAAAATGCTTTTTCTGTACAACGTTGCCATTTCTCGCTTTGAAACCGTTTAATTCAAAAATTCGTTGAAGTGTTACAAAATATAAAATCGATAATAAAACAAATTTCAAATTCAAATTAGGACTTCCACATGCCCATATTCTAGGGAAGATAACGTTTAGTCAAATTTGGATGGCTCTAGGTACCGTTGTTTTATCACAATGCAAGAACCATATATACATTCATGCAGATTCTTCATTATTTAATTTCTTCGGATATAATACAGGGCAATAATATTTGTTGGTAACGATTTGAAAAGCGATACAGCGTTTTAAAGGTTTAAACGCAAAATCGCGAAACGAAAACAATAGTCCTTCAGAGCAAATTGCCCCTTTGAACTAATAACTATAGGACGTCCAGGTCTTCTTCAGAAAAGCGTGACATTCAGTGCTGCTATAAGCTAATACTGATCATCAAAACTGAGATAAACAGTTTTTCTAATTCAGTTTTTTACTTTATTTATTTATTAGCCCAAAGGACGTTAGCCCAGAAGGGTTACTAACTTCGTTTTGACATTTTGCATTGATTCACTTTCCAAACTGTTGCCCTCAAATATTACAGCCCTGTATTATATTTAAAGATATTGAATAATGAAGAATCTGCATAAATGTACATATGTTTCTTGCACTGTGATAAAACAACGGTACTTAGAGCCATCGAATTTTGAATAACGTAATTCTCCACCGAATATGGGCATCCGGAAGCTCTAATTTAGAATTTGGAATTTGTTTATCATCTATTTCATATGTTGTCAGTCATTAAAGAATTTTTTATTAACAAACTCAATGATTTAAAATCGAGCAATGGCAACACTGTACGAAAAAAAATTAACTCCAGCGCGCGAGATTGTGTATCAGAAATTCTAGAGATATGCTCATTTTAAAATTATTTTGGGATATTGCTGTTGAATTGAATTTTATGGTTTAAGTGCAAAGAACGTGATATTTAATAAATAAACGTAACACACAAAACGTTGAAAAAAACGCCTCTTTGGGCGTAATGTAAAATCTTAAAGCTTTCAGATTTTTTAGTCCAAAGGGGCTTTGTCCCGGAAGGACTATTAATTTCTTTTTGACATTTTACGTCAAAAACTTTAAAACGCTGTATTGCTTTTCCAATCGATGCCACCAAATACACTTTCCCTGTATTATATTTGAAGAAATTAAATAATGAAGAATCTGCATAAATATGTTTCTTGCATTGTATTAAAACAACGGTACATAGATCCCTCCAGTTCTGAATGACGTAATCCTACTGCGAATATGGGCATCTGAAAGCCCAAATTTGAAATTTGGAATTTGTTTTATTACCGATTTCATATTTTGTAAAACTTTAACGAATTTTTGATTAATAAACTCAACTATTTAAACGCGAGCAATGACAACATTCTCCGGAGGGGGCGGAAGCTTTTTATCTCCAGCGCGTGGAACTGTGTGTCGGAAATTCTAAAGATGTGCTCATTTTAAAATTATTTTGCGACATGTTGAACTGAAGTTTTTGGTTTTAGAGCAAAGAACGTAATATTTAATAAATAAAGGTAGCACACAAAACGTTAAAAAAAGTCCCTTTGGACGTAACTTAAAATCTGAAAAACCTTTCAGTTTATTTTTTTTTTATTTTACTTCATTACTTTTTAACGCTCTGACTAGACGTCAATAAAGCTAACTTTTAAATTTTTTTAGTTAAAATTACCACTCAATTATTCATAATAGTATTAGAATGAAGAAAATACAAGAAGATTTGTGTTGCTCCTGAATTTGAATATTCCATGCCTAAAATAAATTTTAAATCTCGCTATCTCTCTCTTTCTATCTATATATATGGGTATATGTGTATTTTCTTATTATCTACAAAATTATAAGAAAGATAATTGCTTTCTAACCGCATACCTTCTGCGATGCTGATGAGGTTTTAGAAATGGAGCTTTTAACTGCAATCAATGTAGCCTCTTTTTTATCCTGATGTTTATTCTTCTAAATATAATTGATATTTAAATATATATATATATATGTGTGTGTGTGTTATTTAACTTTCATAATTGTTCTTGTTTAATTTTCTTAAAACTTTGTAATAAAACTCTTTTTTTCCTAAACAGGTAAACGCGAATGGCAAGAAAATGGAGCTGACTGTGAAACAAATTATCAATAACTTGCCTTATAACTCTGAAAGTGTCATGAACCCCGAGTGTTTGCAATGTTTTCACAACGTGCCTGAATTACAAGGCTTTGAATGTTAATGCTTGTATATCATTTAAAAAATAAACAAAACATTTACTGACACATTTAAAATTAGCTTAGCTTGTATTATAGTGTTTTAACTTTAATTTAAGTAATTTCCTTGCTCAGTTGCTCTCTTCAATACCTTTCACGTATAATTCAGTTTAAAATTTTCAAGTGAATTTTATTTTGAAAAGACGTAATAAAAATTCTTAATTCTAAGCATTTTATTCAAAGTTGTGGAGTCATTGAGTTTTTGATGCTGGAGACATATAAAATGTGCATTCCTTTCCCAAGGATTCGAACTCCGGACTTCTCGAATACCCGTCGTGTGTGCTTCCACTTACATCACGAAGGCATGTAAAAAGGAGGGAGAAAATACCTTTTATTCTCCCCATTTTTAAAGGGCAAATGGGGATGAGAGGACCCGATCGCCAAATCCTGGTGGTGACAAATTGCAGTTCCTCGCCTTTTTCGGTTCGGGCGCCACTGTAACGTTTCATAGTTTTTGCAAGCATAAAATATACGAAGCATCTTAACCTTTAACTGGTGTGAGAATGCATGGACAGAAGGAAATTAAGAGAATGGATTTATCAACTAAAGAAGAATAATTAAAAGAAAGAAAAACATGTAGTCTGTGCCTACCTTGTAAGGAGAGAAAAACAGCATACAAATATTTGGAATGCAAGGAACCAGTGTGTCTTCCGAGCATTCAAACAATGTGTTTTGACTGTATATCATCTTATGATTCATCCTTGTAAACAAAGATATACTTATCTATTATTTATTAATAATTAAATTCAATTTTGTAGAATTATGGTTTAATTGACAACAGTAATACTTAATAAAGTCACATATTTTTCATGCATGTTTAATAAAATCTTTGTGCTTTAAAAACTTTGTTCCTTAAAACGAAGAAAATAGTGATATTTTTATATGAATTTAACTGCGTAAAAACAAATGATTTATTTTTAAAATATATTGATTTAAATGAATTAGAATTCTATAAATATGCATAAAGTATCTATAACATTTCTTAAAAAGGCATAAAAGTATGCATTTTTACGCGTTTCTATAAAGCGGTCTAAGAGACCGCTCAGAGTATTTACCCCGAAAAAATTGTCAAAGCAGTTAAAGGTTAAAAGACTGAAAAGTGAAACCCTCGGACCCGTTCACCCGGTGCGCTCTCCATCAAAATGGGGGGGGGGCGGAACTAAGCAAAGTCGTACTGTCGTTCACTCCTTGACATGATTAATTTTTCTGATGTTACTGTCAGACAAGTTATAAGGTATTTCTTCCGCCTTCTTCGTATGCGTTCGTCGTGTAGGGGTCAGCACGCTCGATGCGAATTTGAGAGGTCCTTGGTTCGATTCCCAGCAAGGGCATTGGTCATTTTTCATCTTTCGTGTTTTCAAAAAAGTCCTAATGACTATGCAAAGTAAGATAAGTCACAACAACAACACTCCAATACGTTTAATTTTATTCGTGCTAAACCGAATTTCACCTTTGACGTATAATTTTTAGAAAAAACTCTAAGAAATAAAAATTGTCTAATAAATATGAACATAATAGAAAAATATTTTTTAAAATTATTCCTAAATCTCGGGATTTTAGTTTTAAGAAATTAAAATTAAATTTCAAAAACAAATAAATAAATGCTAACTGTTAATATTTCAATTTACTTCTTTCTTGTATCTTAAGTTTTATAATAACTTTAAAAAAAATCTCCGACCAGGCCTCACAAATTTTACAAAATTTATTGCCATATGGCTAAGCTCTAAATTTAAAGAGTACTTTCAAACATGTAATGTATATTAATTTTCAAAAAATACAGAGATTGCTGAGAAATATTCTTTTCATGGTTTTTCAAATAATTCAGTAAAGAAAATTAAAAAATATAAAGTAAGAAATAATAAACTTATCGAAAAATGCAGGATTTTCGCAATTCTCTAGAAAAGGGTTTCTTCTAATAGAAGTCTAAGTCACGTGTGAGTCAGCTTGATCAATGAATTGCTTCTGAAAGCTCCGCCTATCCTTTTTATTATTCCATATAGTATTCCGTTCCGAAATATTTAGTGTGCTGTGTGCAAAAGTTGAAATCATTACACAAGGATGTGGAGCAATACTTTGCACACGGCAATGATTATTGTCCAATCATATTTATCTACATCCGAAACTCTAATACACATAACCAATCAAAATTAAGTCTATGACGTCAAATAAGGTCATCTGCAAAAGGGAGTTACTTGAAATTTTTTGAGGAAATATTGACTCAATAAACGATAAGATAAAAATGATGTGAAGCTTTCCAGACCAAGAATTGCAGCATCACTGATTTATCATCATGAAACTGGCTACCTGCCAGAACGGAAATTTCAGTGCGCACATGCGTATTTTAAAATCTTTAAATCCCAAACTCCCTTATTACTCCTTTTTTCGAATTTTAAACGTAATATGAAAGCGTATCGTGCTATAATATAAAAGTACCTTTAGAATGTATTAATTTTGATTTAATTTTAATTAATTTATTTATTTTGTGAACTAGGCAAAAGAAGGCTCAGTTGTACATCAGTTTTTTAAATCACAAAATTTCATTTCTCAAGTCAATTTTTATAAAAGTGAAGATTTAATTTAAAGAAAAAGTGTCCACACATTCTTAGTTGAGTGTACACAGTTTTCCCAAATTAATTATTTATAACCCTTACAATAGAATACAGCTGTAGCAAAATTAGTTACAATTACAATATATATATATATATATATTGTATATATATATATATATATATTGCAATTGTACTAATTTGCAATATAATAACTAAAATTTTATAATAATAATTAAAAGAAAACTATAGACAAGGTTTGATTTTAATTGCTCCAAAGTAAAGGAAAACATCTGCTCCAAGGTAAAGAAAGTACTCCAGAAGTCGTCACGCAGCACCACGGACTGTCCTTTGATACAGTTTCACTTGACGCTGCAATAGACAGGGAAAACAGAAATATCTGCAGGGAGAGAGGGAGACAGGGAATATCTGCCATGGGAGAAATGCCTTCTTGAAGAACTTTCTAAGGAAAATTTGTCTCCAACTCACGTTGTGCATAGGAAAAAGCAGAAGAAAAGCTCATGCTGGCTGCATGGGGAGTTTCCTGATTTTCTCCATTTGTAACGTGTGTACGATCCAGTTTCCCTTACAAAATCTTTCGCGAAGGCACCCTTCCCCTTAGGTCATTAGCCCTAATGTGCTGTCTCGTAATCAAATAAACCATGTAGGATTCTTCACTGTGTAGTTCTTAGTTGAGAGTGACGAATCTTAAGATTTGATAAGCGAATAATCATTTGAGCTCGTGTGACAGAAAAGAACTAGATAGAAAGGTAAAATAACCCTTTATTTTTAAAATAAGATTTAACAGAACTCCGTCTTGGAGTTGTACAATAAACCGACACTTGGGCTTGAACTTAAGAGACTAAGAATTAAACTAAACTAATCTTAACGAAAGGAATTATAGCCGAAGCTATAAAAATTCTAACAGAGTTGGCCCCTTAATGCTAATTGACTGCGAAGCTATCAAGGGCCTAAAGCACGGCCGAGCGTATTAATAGCTTACGAGAGAGTAGCCTAAAAAGGCGGACGCGTGCAGCCAGAATATCTGGTACCTCTCTCACTAAGGCAGTAGAACTTCACGGTTAAATACATTAGCATTCAGACGTGATTCTAAAACTACGTTCTGGCCGGAAGTGGTATGTTGAATTTAAAAAGCGATAGGAAAGGGAGTTTAACTCAAAATTTAACAGTGGTTTTTAAAATTTTGAAAATAATTTCTTAAATTAAACTTACTTTAGGGTCTATTTAAAAAAATCAGAAATAAAGAAATCAAATTTTTAAACAAGTAATCATATGCAATATTCTTCTTATAGTAAAATGAGTTACTCTAAAATACACATATGTTTAAAACTCCATTCCTGCATCAACAGAACAAAATTTACAACAACCCACAAATATTTTTTTAAATAGGTAAATTTCATAATATCAGGTTTTTTTTCCCAACGAAAAGCATTTGTTTCAAATACGCAAAATAATTAAAGTCATAGAAATCATATTTAAAAACTTATTCAAAATGTATTCAAAAATAAATATTACAAAGCTTAATGTTTTGAAGTAGTTGTCACGAATTGCAGATTACTAAACATAATAGCATACGTTTTGGTCCATAGAGTGATAAAATTGAGTATTCTTAAAATCTAATACAACCCTCATGTCACACAAATACAGTTGCGGAAAAAAATTGCAGAAATCATCATGTTTTTCGACGTAGGAGACATACAAAACCCAATCGTGGCTTTGTTGGGGTTCGAACCATGGATCTACCTTTTCTAGGTGGACATGTTAACCATATGCACCACAAAATCACGCACAGGGAATGCGATAATTCCTTATATTTTTATCCACGTGAGAGTGACTGGGAAAAGGCACGAGATCAAATTCATCAAATTACAGCATATCGTCTCTCACATTTTACTTTCAACGACCATTAGTTTTTCGAATTAGAAAATGTGAAACACGTGCCGTCGCTGGCCACCTTGTGTTGATATGTTGCGAAGTGGTGTCTAATGATGTCTCCTATAACAGTGTAATCTGGTTTTTCTTTAACATTACGGATTTATGCGCTTATTAAATATATGCTGACTTAAAGTTCTGGAAAGGATTTTGAAAGTAGATCACAAATATCTTGCAATACAGGAGATGCATCCTTGAAATAAGAAATTATCTGAATAGTTATTTGGCTGTTGGAACGAATTGAGATTTTATTTACTATAATTCCTATTCCATTCGATATTGAAATATTTCGGCTTTTACTTTAAACAGAAAAGCACTGTTAAATTGATTGATATCTCTTTTCCAAGTGTGGATATATGAAATATATGTCGTTCCGTGGAAGAAGCGGGCATCACCCACTCATTCTTGCATTTTTGACTTTAGTCGTATAAACTACTGGGTATCTTCATAAGCTGGGTGGAAAATCTTTTATTGTTATCCTAAGTCTAAATTTTAGAACTGGATGTCATGTGTACAGGACGCTTGGGTGTTCGAAGTTTTGTAGTTGGTGTATTTAAGTCATGATACGCTGCTTCTTGCTTGAATTGTAGAACTTGTACTTCCATAATCACTTCTTTCTGCTACTTGAAAATGTGGTACGTTTGCTAAAGAGCATAGTGACATTTTTGATGCAGTTCTGTAAAGATATTAGAAGGACTAGGCATTGAATAAGTATCTTTAGCGTAACTAATTCAAACCATCAACATTAATTAAATAGAACTAACTGTAAATTTGCGTTGACAATGATAGCATAAATGCATTTATTGCCACAGGTAAAAACTGCTGAACGCAACCTTCAGTTCGATGACACTGGTAAAATAAATGCTGCTATGGCTTTCTTCGATTCGTGAGCGTAATACGAAATATGTGAATACGGAATCGATACGTTATACAGCAGCGAACACGGAATCGATACGTTAAGGAGCGTCATGTTAACCGCTGTGCTGGATCACAGCGGTCTCGGTCTAGTGACATCCAAGCGGACTGACATATCCTCTTGGCCTTTAGGTTTGTACAGTTACTTAACGTACCTTTGTACCTTTTGTCAGGAACCTGGTTTGTGGGAAGGACGGCAA